CCATTTGGAATTAGTACATGTAAGGCTCGTCCTCATTTTCACACTGCTTGTTGTAGTATACATGTGTTATAGTTTCTCTGTATATGACAAATGTAAATATTTGTATATAATTTTGTTTATGACTTAGGAGTATAAAAATCTTTTTGAGAACAAAGCATGTTTATCATTCATTTTCTTTCAACTATTCTGTTCCATTATGCTGTTATTATATCATGGATATAATAATGCCCATAATGGGAAATTCAAAGAGGAAATGAACCTTTTTTATGTATCAACCCCATTAGTCTTATCCATTGTCCAGTATAAAGAATCTTTTTGCATGTCACTATTGCAATTCAATGCACAACTTTAGTTTGTTAGGCTCTGCTATTGACCACATCTAACACTCTGCTGCTAATGTCTTCATCATGATCCTGATAGGAATGACTTCTGGATGCTATATCTTACCAAAGGGCAACTTATGATTTGGTCCACAAAAGAAGAAAAAAGAAAATTATGTGTATTGTCGAGACATTATTATTATTATTATTATTATTAATAAGTAAAAATAAAATATAAAATAATGATAATGACTATCATAAATAAAATAACATTAAAACTTTGTTTAAAATAAATTAAATAAAACCAAAAATAAAAGTTCTCCCAGAATGCAACAGAAATATTTCCTGTCTGAAAATAGACTTCATATCAAAAGACTGAATTCAGTCACTTCTCCACCAAATGTTGGAAAGACAAGACATCCATCTCCTCTCCTCAGGACATTGCTTGTTATAATATGAAGTGACTTCTTCCTTTTATCACATAATGTTGTAGAGTAGCTAGCACCCCTTCAGAACTCTACCAGATAGCCTAGCTCATAGCCTTAAATAGTCTATGATTAAGGACTTCAACAGTTGATTAATAAGTTGATACTAAGCTGATTAATATTCAGACTGATCTTACTTTGGCTACACAGCATTTGACCCTCCTCTATTCCTTGTAAGTTGTCTTGTTGTTTTGTAAATTATTGTTCTGTGTTTTTTGTATGTATCCATTAGCACCAGATACTGGTGCTGAATAAATATATTAAGCACTCATTCTTCTCTGTGTATCATTCACCTCGATGATACAACACCCAAGAAGAGAACAATCTATCCATGAGGTCAACTGCAAGTCAACAGACATATCATTGTTACCATCTCAAAAAAGATATCTCTTTAAATACTTTAGGGATCACCAGACATCCATAGTGCATCGCAAGATTTACTGCCTTTATCCTTCTGGTGGTGATGTGGGAATGTTGAATATTGAAATCTGTTGGGATCCATCTATCCAGGTTTTTGTTGCTGTTTGAGTGTTGGGATTCCAAACATTTAACAACAACAAACTTTTTAAATGAAACATAAAAAATGTTATTTTCTGAAGGAAAAGTAGAAGCAGAACATCAGTTGAAATAACATTTATATATTCTTTTCGGAAATATACTATAACAATAAAATGTTCAATTTTCCTTACAGTGAAGTTTGTTTTATAAAGTAATTAAGTGTTCGTAGTTTGGTGTGAGACTTGTGAACAGATTTATTTTATGATGATCAGCGTAATGTTTGTGTCACTGCATGGACAAGGCCTTAGTCAGCAGCTGCTGGCTGTTGTCTCTTCCATTGTGTGGGTGAGTGTGTATGCATGTGTTGATCAAACAGGCCTCCAAAATTGTTTTGAACCTTAAGAAGCAGTAGTATCTATAAGGGGATCCAAAATTTAATTTCACATAGAGATGTGAACTTTTTGAAGACAAGGTTTTTATTAATTAGAAAATAATTTTACATTGGCCTACAAAAATCTTTCTCTTGAATAGGCGGGAGTGGTAAAAGGAGTTATTATTGTTATTTTCTAAATGGTCCAAAAATAACATGTGGTAGGTCTACAACTATATCCACAAGTATTTTGGCAGTATCTATTGTTTATTAAATAAACCTTCTAATGGGATTTTATTTGTTGAAAAATATATAGAGAATTCCTATAAATCTATCAGCACACCATAAAGTTACATTTCATTGTGTGGATGTGCACTCAACATGATGATAATGGAAGATTTTTCAGACTTTGAAAAGCATATACTCAGATAATGGAGTGGCTCACTGTTGGCTTCGAAACAAGTGATCCTTCTATCATAGATACTTTGAAAGTTTTTCTTGGGTAAAAACTAGCCTATCTGAAACCCAATGATTGTTAAGAAAGGCATTCCTCAAGTATTAGTAAGGGGACTATATGAGATGTATTGGTTGAGCTGTGTAAATGGAACCACCTACCTGATCAGCTTGTTTGAATGGAGCCACCTACATGATCAGCTTGTATAAATGGAGCCACCTACCTAATCAGCTTGTGTTAATGGAAGGTGGAGCATGGAGTTAGAAGGGATGACAAAGAGACAAACATTACTAAGAGCTACAACGAATAGAAAGTTGTGGACAGTCATGACCGTCCACATCCTGAAAGGGAAAGATATATAAAAGAAATGCTAGCATGAAGTCACAAGTCATTGTGACTGAGGGTTTGAATATACTGGCTTTGTTCAAACTGTTGATCATGCCAGATAATATGCTCTCTCTCCAAGAAACTGTAACTAAGGTCTGCTCAGCATAGCTGCAGTATAATCCACAAGTGGGCTCTGTGGATCTTGAACAAACACAAATGTGCTTGAGGAGGCATCTACTAGAGGAATTGGATAGCTGACCTATACTTGGATATGAGCGGCTGACCATTATAAAGTGAGCAACCTTTGTTATTGTTTTGCTTCTTGGCCTATCCTTTTAATTTTTAAAAATAATAACCTGATTCCTTAACATTCTCTTGCTCTTCCCTTTTTGTATACTCTTCACTTTCTCTTTTGTAAATACACGTCTGTGGCATGTACACAATAATACTCAAAATTTCCCACAGAGTAGAATGATATATAATAAAAAAGATAAGAAACAGAAGCAAAAATCTATGCACAGAGGAGAAATTGAAAATCATAGCATTTAAGAATGTCAATGGTTTAATAAAAAAAAAAGGAATGAAGTTATTTGGAACTGTCAGCAGACTGACACATTCCTTCTGGAAAATATACAATGAGCAGTAGATCTCAGCAGTATCCAAGATAAACAAGCGCCCATTTGGAATAAATTGCTATGCATAAAACAGGCAGTAAATAAAAAACAAATAGAAAATGTTATTTGTTATGTGTATTGAAAAGCTTTTAAAAATATTTAAACTTAAGCACTCTAAAGAAAGGAAATATTCTTGTACTCAAAGTCAAAAGAGAAAAAAAGATGAAAAGGAATATATAAGGAAACAAGGAAATGATGAAAAAGAGAAATAACAACATTCGACACATATGCACATACACATGTACACATAGATACACATGCTCACAAAAGTATAAAAACATCAACCAAACACCAATAACTAGCACATAAATTAATTGCATCAAATTTAGTACAAAGATAATGAAAAATGGCATAAATCATTCATACAAAAAAACAATGATTCATGTAATGTAAATTGAACTGCACCACATACTTGATATATATATATATATATATATATATATATATATATAAATACACTTTTAAATAAGTTACTCTCTAAGGGATGAAAATAGATATATACATCTACATTTATATAGAAATATATATTCAATAAGCATGCAATGTACATTTTGCCAGATTGCCATATATGTGTGTATGCGTATGTATCTACACTGCATTATCATTTTTTAATCTAATGTTCCAGTTCTTAAACTATAGGAACAAACAGAACATATTTTGTGGATCATATTTAGTTTTAATGACACTGCTTTTATCTTTCAATTTTATTGGTTAAACTAAATTTGTGCGTCAATTTTTCTTTGTGCAACTTCCTTGTTGAAGGCAATAATAAAAAACAAATTAAAAATAATGACTGAAAACTTGTGTCACTGAAAAAAAATCCATTCCTTATGCACTGATTGATATTTACTTGAACCTGTTATATTTTTTCAACTAGAACTAATGTTGCAGTCACTCAACATGACAGACTGAATGTTTACTTTTCAATTATTCCTTTCTTTGTTTTTGATTCTATTCTTTTCTACTACTTACCAGAAATTTTAAACTTTTTAAATAATTTATATATTTTGGCATAAATTTCATTATTCACATAATTAACAAATTTATAAACATACACACAAAATATATACATTGTGTTAGGTGATATTTTTTTATTTAACATAGGTACATTTACCTCTTGATGTATCTATGCAACATAATTACATTCACCTAATGATGAAAATATTATTTATTTTACCTGATATAAATTGAATATTAAATAGTGAAAATTTCAGCTCAAAATGTTATGCCAGTAATATCCAGTTGGTCAGGGGATTTTAGACTATGGTTCATTTGTAGATCCCAGAAGTACCTGACAAATCAGTTAATATGTTGTGACGGACATTGAAAGCAGATAGCCTAGATGCGCATATGAAGGTTAATTTCCGCCTAGCAACAAAATAAAGATTACGTGAAGTCTTATGACATTTTGGGAAGGCAGGTCGAAAGGTCGACTGACCCAATTACCCGTAACGGAAAATGTCTAGATAGAAGCTAGACAGGGGATGGAAGTAAGTGAGAATTCGCGCCAAAAAACTAAGACACGTCAAAGATTCACTCGAGGATCAGTTGTTATCTGGACTTTGAAAAAGCAAGACCGAAGCCGAGACGCTAGTGGTTCACGAATGGAAAGATAAGATGCATTCGATAGTGATGACTTATCCAGTTCTATCCAGGCAACTCCGGACACGGAATATAAGGAAATAACGTGTTCAAAAATCCCAATTTGAAGACGTATTAGAAAAGATATATGTTGATGATTCAACCTGCGCGTATACCTCCGTTATAAGCTAACTTGTAAAAAGAAAAGGAAAGTGTATATCTCTGTTGCAAGTCGAGCTGTTTTTCAGAAGAAGAAGAAAGTGTACATCTCTGTTGCAAGTCAAGCTGTTTTCAGAAGAAGAAGAAAGTGTACATCCCTGTTGCAAGTCGAGCTGTTTTCAGAAGAAGAAGAAAGTGTACATCCCTGTTGCAGACCGAGCTGTCTACAGAAGAAAAGGAAGGAAAGAAAAAGACGAAACAAGAGAGGAAGAAAGTGTATACCTCTATTACAGACTGGCAGTGTACGAAATGGTGTTTGTGCCGAGAAAAGAAAAGAAAGGACATTGATATAGAAAGAAAAAAAAAAAGAGAGAACTGAATACAAAAGATAAGTAATCACATTTTGGATCCGTAGTATAAAAGATATACACACACACACACACACATGAATATTATGTTTTTTTTTCGCAAACACCTTTCCACATGTAAAACAATAATTATAATTACTATCCCATCTCTTATGTATGTGCGTTGGCTTCTGCATTCAATTCATAGTAATTCATACTTGTACTTTATATGTTCGGGTTCAGTTGAATCCATTTGGTGTTCGGCGAATTTAATATCCCAAATAAGTTCGAGATCTGGTTGTCGGATAGTTTAACTCATACTTATCTGTTCTTTTATATTTTGATATATGTATATTTGTATATATTAAAAATGATTGTATCAAATCGCTAAGCCTCATAGTTCATCCTTGTATTGTGGATCAGTATTTGTGTTGAAAACGAAGCGGACTTGGGAAAGATTACTGTTCGATTATCCCAATGGAACAGTAGTCTTAAAAATACTTTTTTTGTTTACCAATTGTCCACTCTCTCTCCACAGGTGTGAGAGTGTATATATCTCCTAGTCGGCATATGGTCACCCTATAACCCGTTCGTCGACTGGGGCATATGACATATGTGTACACACACACATGCATGTGCATAAAACCACAGTTTAAAATTTGCTATATCTATAAAGGAAACATGCTGAGAGTGCAGAGAAATCAACACTGCAAAGTGAATGTCAGTGTTGGTTCCTATATCCGTCAAAGTGCTTCAACATCCACAGCTCATATGATAAAAACAGACCTTAATTTCATCCAGCTCTATGTACCCAATTCTGAAATACTGTCCAAAAATACCAGGGTCATAAAATATCCTTTCTGACCAATCAGAAATCTCATGCAGGTTTTCACAGCAACTGTTTCTAAGCCAATAAAGACTCGCTATAAAACTAACAATGACTTCATCCACAAAGGTAAATCTGACTCAGCTGGCATTAGTGACAGACTTTATGGCAGGCAATCAAGGATATTGGCAGAGATCCCATGGTTCTTCCATCAACAATGATGCCTTCAGCCAGCAATGAAACCAGTGGCAACAGCAGAGACTAACTCTTGACTACTACAATGTGATAATATGTGGAATATTTCTCTCAAAAGTCTATCTTACTTGATTACATATGCATGTTGATTTTCTCCATATGTCTGTCTTGACTACTACCTTGTATTATACCGTGAACAAACTCTCCATCTTCCACAGCTGATATATCATATAACAAAATGAGCAAATGATTGAATCTTGTAAATCACAAAGAAATAAAATGCTCAAAGACATTATCACCATTTGTCACCTTTATGAATAAGGCTGCCATTACACACACACACACACACACACACACACACATTATATATATACAGGGTGCAATGGGGAAATTTTCGCCATTTTATATTTTTAATTTTATGCATGCACATTGTTTTTGATTTTGCCAACTGCACAGTATAGTAGGGTTAGTTGGACACCATTTGTGAGAAAAAGAGCACCATGACGCAATTCACTCTGCCAGAAATTTGGAAATGGCATGCTGTACTGCTTGGTATTTGCACTGGAAACTCCAATATGAACATTTCAGAGTGGGTGTCAATCTGAAGACAGTTCAGAGAATTTGGAAAGAGTTGGATGAGTCTAATGGTGATTATGATGGTTTTTGGAGTGATCACGACATTATGCCTCTATTTATATTCCCACAGAGCCTCAGACTCAACACAGAGACCTACATCAAATGCCTTGAGGAGGTATTGTTGCCTTGAGTTAAGAGGGTGGCTGCTGGAAGCCCCTAAGTCTGGCAACACGACTCTGAACCATGCCACACAAACAAGAGAACCCAGTCTTTGTCAGACAATTTCTGCAACCACATCACTCCTTACATCTGGCTACCTAACTCCCCAGACTGCAATCCCCTAAATTATTATGAATGGGATGTAGTTGAGTGAGAAACGAACAAAACTCCTTTGAACACCAAAGATGAACTTAAGGCAAGTATTATGGCAGCATTCACCAACTTAAATGTGGAGACTGTTCAGAAGAGTTGCAGGAGATTCCAAAATCGTCTGGAGGCCATGGCTGAAGCCAATGGCGATTTTATTAAATAAATTTACTGTTTAGTATCTCAAGATATTTTTGTGTAATTTTGGTAAATATATCTCTTAAAATGAGAAGTCAGTGTTATTGTGTGTAATGCAATCTCTAAGTTTTGATTTCTGGTAGGAAATTTCTTGCATTACACATGAATAAATATAGTTATGCTTAAATTTATTAAGAATATTTTAGAATAAAAATGTTTTTCTTAACTTGGCCATGACTTCTTGGATTTTACAGATTATGGATTAAAACAGTTCCTGTTCAACTTCTGAAGAATGCAAATGCTCTAATCTGGTAAAGAGAAATTTACACTAGCCATTTGAATTCATTGAAATCATGCAAATAAGTTTTCTGATATTTAGATTAAGAAAGATTATGATGTTATGGCATAACAAGGACAAATGGGAATGATAAAAGGTTAAAAATTGCTTACAGTAACAAAAGATGGAAAGTTGTGGAGAGCCATGATTGCATGTTTCCTGAATGAAATTGGCATGTAAAAGAAAAGATTTCATTATTTATGACATTTGTGTATAAGTACTTTTTACATTATATTTCTAAAGTTGGAAATCATATTTTTATTGCAAGAGAAGATGCAGCAAGAAAAATAGAATGATCAGTTAATAGTGAGATGAGAGCAGTTTTAGATTATGTGACCATTTGACTTAAAGCAATTAGAAAATATGTATTAGCATAAATACACATTAACTTTTCCAAGGAAACTAACCTTATGGTCTATAATTTAATGCTCTGAAAATGAACTGTAACAACAGAAAAAAAAATAGCTGTTTGATTTTAAATTTGAGAAAATCAGTTCTCAAGGTGATATATTTTAGAAGATAGTGTCAAACGGTTATTTACAGAGAATAAAGAATGAAGTGGATAAAGAGTAAGTTTTATTGGAAAATGGGAAAAAGCAAAACATAAATACTGAGAATTGGAAAGAATAAACTTTATTGAATATAAAGATGATAATTCTTTATAAGCTTCTTTGGTTGCAATGGAGATGTTGGCATCGGCAAACTGGAAGGAAATGTTTTTGGCACAATCTAAACTAGATTTCTCTGTGATCAGAACAAGATTCTTACAAATTTGAAAATACTGTTTATCACTTAATAGAATCAATGTGCACATAGGATGTGCCATGTATTAGTGGGTCATAAATGGAAGACAACCTAATGTAATTTTAACATTCTCATTTCACCTTCACATATATTAGGAGCATTAACGGAGCAGCTTTCACTCTGAGACAAGAAATGAAAAGACATACCATACTTGTGGCAATAACTACTAACCACAGCAAGTTAGAGATACCCCACTTCTTCCACAAGGTCTCAGGGTCAATGCCACTGCCTACATTGGGGGTCTGGACGTAATGATCATGTTCTGAATCAACAGAGTGGTAATGCATATGTATTCCAGCAGAACTTTCTTCTCTCCCCCATAGGTACAAGAGTAGAATTTTCATGATCATAACATGTGGTCTGACTCTTCCTGATTTGAATCCCTTAGACTACTACATCTGGGATATCATTGAGAGGGTGACCAACAAATGACTCCCAAAATACCAAGGACTTGTGGAAGACACCATTAGAGTGTCATGAGTGGCATAAAGAAAGAATGACCTGATCCAGGCATGTAGTCAAAGGCTGAGACTGTCCTCAAGGCCATCAGCTGTTTTATTGAATAACCTTTTCCTATTTTTCAAAGTTGATATCTGTTCAACAAAATGCAAATTTTATTGAAAATATACTATTTTTTCTTTATTTTCATGATAATTTGTTTTCAAGATTATATGAATATAAAAGGCACAATATCAAACAATGCACTCATGTGCCACTGAAACCTTTGTGACCAGAATTTTGACCTGGAAAATTTTAATAAAAAGTGAATATTACTTATTCAGACAAATTTGCATTGAAAATTCCATAATCTATAAGTCCACTATGATTAATATTTGACTGAGCTATTTCAATATATCACCTTTTATTACTAAATTAGTACTGAAAATGTGTTATACATAAGCCATAAAAGAAATCCTGAGTGTAAATTTTCAAAAATTAGTTAAAATTTAATTTCTGTAACAATGCAGTTAAAGTAAAAGTCAAGCATTCAAATGCTTAACATGAATTATATTTGTTTCATTCATTTACATTTTGGCCTTGTGAAATAAAATTCTTTTTCATCTAACTCTGAATCATTCATGAAACATATCAATGTAAAAGTTTTTCAAAATTTTCTGATATATTTATCATTCCATTGATTCTCATTCAACTTTATTCACATGTACACATACATTTGTACACACACACATATATGGTGAAAATAATAATATAAAAAATACTGATGGATTTGGTCCTCCACAGTATACAATGATTTTCCACAAAAACTTTCATCCTCATTATTGCTTTAGACCATTTTTACTGAAACTCTGATAAATAAAACAAATCAAACTTTAATCCAAGTTGGTCAATTTTCTGGCTGTAAATTATAATTCAAAAGATACATTTTCATGTGTTATTTATAAAAGTAATAAAACCCAGAGCAGTTAATTATAGTGTTGAATTTACTTAACATTTAGAATGCAAAAATCTGTCAGATTTTATCATTGGCACTTTAAAATATAATTGCTAATAATGTATTGTAGATATTTATAGTCTTTAGAACAACAACCTACAATTTTTTAATATTCATTTGATTTAGCTCAATTGAGTGCTTGTGTGTGTATGTGTGTGCCCACCTTCACCATTGAATTTGTAGTACAGATAGAGGATGGAGCAGACAAATCCAATTATTCAATCTGTCATCAATATAAATATAAATTCATGTATAATATCCTTTATTAATAGAATTATATATATATATATATATATATATATATATATATATATATATATATATATGACCAAATGGGTAAATATAGATAGATGTACAAATGAGCAATTGTATACAAATATATATAAATACACTTTAATGTAAGAAAAAACAGTGCTCAATGTTAAATAAAAGAACTATTTAATATATATTAAGAAATATGCATAATACCTTACATTGATTGCACAACTCTGAGTTTCACACTTTCTGCAAGCATCAGGTGATTGCAGAAAGTACTATTATGTATATTTCTCTCTCTCTCCCTATATATATATATATATATATATATATATATATATATATATGTGTGTGTGTAAATATTCTCAAATTGAGTGTATCTGTTGAAGAGCCAAAATGAATAAAAAGAGACTAATGGAAAAACTATACTTAGCCAAAATGTTTCATCCTCTGAGGGACTTTATCAAGGCAATGTAGGATTTATTATGCTGCATGTGTTTATATCCTCGCCTCTGTATATAAACACATGCAACATAAGAAATCCTACATTGCCTTGACAAAGTCCCTCAGAGGATTAAACATGTCAGCTACGTATAGTTTTTCCATTTGTCTCCTTTTATTTATATATATATGTGTGTGAGTTTGTGTGTGTGTGTATTCTGCAGTTGCACCTGTAAAATAATTGACATCTTGATATGAACCTAATGTACATGGACAGGAGTGTCTCTTCATTTCTATTTGCCATTTCTAAATAAAGAAATAGCCCTTTGAGTTTATGAATGGAAAGATCCAACTGGGAAAAATGATTAAAAACTTTGGATGCTCTTCACAGCAACTTGACCTCAATAAAATTTGTTTAATCTTAATGTACACTGCTAAAATGTCTTTGAATGATAAGCTCATTTTAACCATATGATGCTCAAATCTATTCGGCCATCATAACATATGAATCCATGTTCAAACTCTAAACCTTTAAAAACATAAATGCTTTATTGGTTATCTCTCAAATTCTATATTCTTTCCTTGAAAAGAACCAATGATGGTCAAAAGTATTCATAACATTATCCATAATTTTGACAAATTCCTTTACAAGTTTCCATCTGACATCAAATGGCTTGACACCAGAAAAAACTCAGCTAGGGACTCAAGAGACATCCTATGTCTATTTTATTCTTTAAAATATATTTAAACAAAGGATTCTGCCTAAATATACAATATTTATAATTTATGAGTGAAAAAGATTATCAGACATTGTTTAAAGATCACTTCAGACATGAAACTACAAGTCACCATGTGTGTGCATGTGTGAGTATGTGTGTAAGAGAAAGAGAGAATGCATAGTTATTATATATCAATATTACATTTTAAAGTCAATTAAAGCCATTTCCTCTCCTCTCTTTTAAAAGACATATATATATATGTGTGTGTGTGTGTGTGTGTGTGTGTGTGTGTGTGTGTGTGTGAATTGCACAAGGAGCTGGTATTATTGAAACAGTGCTTGATGTTATATAACAGAGCTATAAAGTATATATATTAATAAATATACATATTATCCTACACTGTTTGCACGACTCAGAGTTTCATGCCAAATGCAATCTTTATTATAGACTCAGCACCTGAAGATTGTGTTTGGCATGAAACTCCAAGTTGTGGGATATATATATATATATATATATATATATATATCACAGACACAGCAAGGAAGCAAGTATTGTCTCTATTTGGGGTAAATACTTTCCATACAACAGAATCATATTATTAAGGAATCTCAATGCAACTAATAGATACTTAGATAATCTCTAGATTCTTATATATAATCTTCATTTTACTTATCTTTATCTTTTATTACTTTTGTTCATTTTTCTTACTTTGAATCTAATAAATTTATTATTTGCTTTAACCAATCTCATTGTGTAACTTGTATTAACTCACAAAGCTCAGATGTACAGGATGTTGGCATGATGACTTCATTTGGCAAAGATAACAAATAAACTTGATTCATACATAAATCGAATGGAAACTTTTGATGATAATTTAGAAAAACATAGCAGGCTTCTGGAAGTATTTCAAGAATAAGTACTAAACATTCACAATATTTTTAAAATAAAAATGAATAAAAATAGTAACCTTTGTATACGTAAATTAAGAGCATTCTAAAAATAATTACCTAACAGCCAAATGAAAATTATATTTGGCGATTTCATTTTCAGACATTATAAATTAATATTTTCTTTAATGATAATATATTTTGTCTATATCAAGATTTATCAAAAAATTTTTTAAAAAACAAATGAAGCACTCTTAGGATAGAAGGCAAAGCAGGAAAAAAGCTTCATCTAACAAAAAAAAAAACTTTGAAAATTTCTTATCATCTGCTGGTTTTGTGATTGATTGACATGGGTTGCAGGCATAAAGAAGTGGGGATAGTAATATTAGGTAACAAATGTTCCCTCTTTTGAAAGATGCTTGATGACACTTCGTCCAAATGTTTGCTTATTATCTCCATTTTTGAGTTCATTTTATGTCGCAGTTGCTTGATTTTGTTCTGACTACCTTCAGAAGCACTTACGAAATAAGCCAACTGTTTGCTGTGGAAGAGGCCACGGTATAGGAAATAATGTGTGCAGTTGTGTTCCATCTTGGTTTGTAGTTTCAATAGCTGCAATAAAAAGAAAAAATTGTAAAAAATAGACTAAAATTGCAAAAATATATGCTAAGTAGCCTGTTTTTGTGAGTATACATTCTTTTTCTTCAGATATAAATACATAATAGCATATATTAATAAATATACATATTATCCCTCACTGATAGCACATCTCAGAGTTTCATGCACAATGCAATCTTCAGGTGCTGACTGACCATTATGTAATTTAAATTTCAATAAAAATATCTGGTTATCACAATTTTGGTGCAGTTATATTATACTGGGATTACAGTTTTTTTTCCTTTAAAAATATATTTGGCATTTAAAATAAATGGGATTTATATATAAATATATATATATAAAAATATATAAAAAAAATTTTTTTAGAGTTGTGATATTAATTTTTATATTAAGCATAAAGGGAGATTACTTTTTTAAAAAAAATAACTTTAATTTACATTAAAATTTAATCTGGATCAATGTATTTGAGCAGATATTTATTTTATGCCTACATGTAATCATCAGTTCATTTCTCTTATTTAATAAACTAGGGTTATTTAAGTGTTTTAAGATAACTAATTTTTCAACAAGACATAAGTTACATATATTGCCTTTCCCATTGTAAGATTTGGCTCTTGCTACAATATCCCACATAATAATAGATGTATTACCACCATTCTTTAATTGCCATAAATGTTTAGAGAGAGAGAGCAGTGCTGTTTAAGTATTTTATATTACCTAAAGTCATTTGATGATAGTAGAAACAAAATTTCCAAGGATTTTCAGTAGAACCAAAATAAAATTTGACATCATTACCGTAATGTATGCTTGTTTGGTATACAGTATTATCAGTCATACATTGACCGTTTAGGGGACAGATCATATTTTTTTTGGCAGTTGCATTTATTTTTTAAAGATTAACTCTGTCTACGTTGGACATGTATTTGTTTAATATAATATTGTTATGTTGGGATATAGATTTATCGATGTTGCTAACACAGCTATAGATGATCTTAACTTTATTTTTGTTAAAAATCTTTTTTGGTGTTGGTGAATGATTAAAGTGCTTATGAATTAAATTTAGGAAAATTCTTCCAATATTCATTTGAACATTATGATTAAAAGTTGGATTAAAACCATATAATGTTATGCCAAAGACATTCTTTAAAATTAGAAACTGTAATCCCAGTATAATATATAACTGCACCAACATTGCAATAACTAGATATTTTTATTAAAATTTAAATTACGTAATGGTCAGTCTATACTCAGCACCTGAAGATTGCATTGTGCATGAAAATCCAAGTTGTGTTATCAGTGAGAGGTAATATGTATATTTATATAAAAAGACAGATATAGAATTCTACATTGTATGATGATTATTAGTTTCTTACTTATTGTGGAACTGCCAATCACCATGCAGTATTCATTTCTATGACCACTCTGTTTATATCTACATGCACTCAATTTACAATACTGAGCACTCTTCTCCCATAAATATAACAAATTATAAACACTACACACACATATATATATATATATATGCATGTATTATAAACACTACACACACATACATATACATGTATTATAGTCATGTCACTCTCAGTGTTTCTGGTACTATGTAACCCACTACTACTTGCTGCATAGTCAGTTATATGCAGTGATATTTTTTTATGTTCATAGTCAATAACAAGATGGCAGGCATCAATGTCTGCGTGCATGTGTGAGAGAGATATAACAAAGAAACAAGTAATCATAAGAAGTACTATGATTTATATGTACTTTCTCTCCATCTGGGCTAGTTTGTTTTCAGTGTTTCTATGTGTGTGGAGAAAGAGAATTATATTATAAGAAGGGCTCAACAGTAAATATAATATAAAATCATTCATTCATGCTTAATCTAAAATGTCCTTTTTATCAATTATTGTTCAAAATTCTGAAAATGCTTAACATTCAAAAACAAGTTCTTTGGAAAAAAAACATGACTTCCTTTAATGAAGAGTAAAATAAGAATGTTCAAAATGTAAAAAACTAAATAAAATTTAATAAATGTTTGTGCCTGCAGATGTTTATCTCAATCTGTTTCTAGTGCTTCTTTGTCAACTTAAGACACCTTATTAGTCTATACAAATTTCCCCAAATAATATGCAATGCACTTACAGATCTGGTGCGCAAGGCAACTCCATGTGAATTTCAAAATCCAAGTCTAATTCATGCCTCATAAAAATATAATTATCTCAAAATTCATTACAGATTTTCCTTAATTTTTCATATGCCTGGCTTTTGAAATTAATTCTGTGTGAATGTAATTTTTTTTTAAAACAAAATGTTTGATTTGTTTCTTGACTTTTGATTCACATATTTTAATTCTTAGGAAGCAATACAATCTTAAACAAGTTAAACAGGTGGGTCCTCTATGTGATTTGTTTGCATTTTTTTTTTTTGATCACCCAAGTATAATCCTGAAAAGTCTCTTTACACTTATGTGTCAAAACATAAAAACCCTCTATTTTACCTGTTTTAAATCTCTGACTGCCTGTTTTAACAATCCTGTCTCCTCAGACAGTTGTGCATATTCATTTTTCCTCTGCTCCAAAGTATTTTGGGCTATTCGGTACTTGGATGCTAATTCTTCATTTTCTTCAAGACTTTGCAATTTCTTTTCCTAAAGAGGAAAAAAGTTAAAAACAAATTAGCTTTAACTGAAATACATAAATACCTGTTTGTTGTTCATGTATGGCTATGGTGGATTCTTGGTACATTAAAAATGTATTTTTATTTATATATTTATTTTAAGCATTACTTAAGAACTGCGATTGTCCCCCTCACAAAAAAAAAACAATCAGAAAACTGCAACTAAGCATGTGTTAATATGAAAAAAAGTGATAACTGTGGAATAAAGTAGAAATTTTTACTGCTTACTCTATTATTTATTCCATTATTATTTATATCACTGGGCTTTTATTGGGTCATAAGGAAGCAACCTGTTTGAAAGCTAAGTAGACTGTAAGCTATGTATTAACTAAGTTATACTTAGTTAATGTTTTAAAATTATTTAGAATCAGAACTGTAATTTTATGGAAGTTTTGGAACCCACTACCTTTATTACTGGTTACACCTTTATTGAGTGATAGATTTCTGAAACCAGAAAGAAACTCCATCAGAAAACCTTTGACCTAAAGACCTGATTTCCATTATTTCACATGCAAATAACCCCTTTGTTTAATGGTTCAGGAAATTAATATACACCTCACCTTAAGAATAAATCCCAGTGTGCAAGCCTAAGGATATTTCACATTTGCAATCTGTAGAGAAGAATCAACACTGCAAAACCAGATCTATCTGTTTGATAAACTACTGCAGTTGCAGTGGAAGAATTTTCTGACATGCAACAGACATCCCTTCACAGATCTTTGTCAAATCAAAGTCAATCCTAATAAAATCTGAAACTGTCAGTTTGAAAGAGCAGTGATTGTTTCTTATCTTGAGCCTGGATTAACAAATAAAACAAACAAAACTTTTACTAATTGAATATCAATCTTTTGCCTTTATGTAGCCCAGCAGCATTTCATAATGATCATCATTTTTAGGAAATTTCTTAAGCTATGAGGTTAATTATTATGAACTTATAACATACTTGTGAATAACTGATAAATTGCTTTGAAGAGAATTTAAATTCAAGCATAAAAATAATTATAGAATTAAGCACATCTATAGTTTTGATTTTTATAGCTACTTTTACCCTTTTATATTTTAAAACTGTATGATAGACAGCATTTTTAAGGAATTTATCATAAAATCAGAGGAAAATCATTTTCCAATCATTAATTGGTTGGCTATTTAACTGGCATATCAACCACTATGGGTCATTAATGCTGAAATGGTTGGTTGGTTGGTTGATTTTGTTCAGTGACATGACAACCTCCATGGGCCACTCAATACTGAAATCCAAATATTTTGTATGCAACTTTATGGCTTTAAACACAGATGTTTTGTATGCAATTTTATACTTTCAGGGTAAACATAAGTTTTTTTTTTCAGACATAGTTTATAGATAATAAGACATATTGTGCTTTCTTCTATAAGTGCTGGAAAAAAAAAGCTTACTTCTTTTAGGTAGCCCATTATTTGAAAAACAGATACATTTTTGAAAAGCATGGTATGGTTTTGTATGTCATAATATTTGTTGTGCATTTTTTTGTATTTTTTGCAGTTTATCAAGATGTGCTTAACAATGAGCAATTGATCACAAGAGATGCACTCATGTGCAGTTTCTGCTTTGAGTAAGTATTTGTGTCTAAAATACATATGTCCAATTCAGACGCTGCTTAGCACTATGTCTTGTCTTTGATCAGGTAATGGTTCTCTATTTTCCACTCTGACTGTTGACTGATGTTCATACAGTTTGTTGTTTGAAAATGTATCCCAAATTGATTGCCATTTTCTTTTAACATATTGTGTGATCTTAATTTTGTAATCTGTATATGGGAGTCTAATATTGGTTATTGTCATTTTGGTTGCCTCCTTTGTTAATGTATCAGCTTTTTGATTTCCCTTAATGTCTACATGGCCAAGAAGCCAGGCCAAGATTACAACTTTGTGGGATCCTATCAAATCATGACAGGCTTCCAATATTTCATGTATGTAAGGGTGATTTGGATTTTTTTTCCTTTATTGCTGTTAATCTGGATAGGGAGTCTGAGAATATTATGAATTTTTTGTGTTTTTGATCATTTCAAGCGCCATTTTTATGGCTTGTAGTTGAACTGTATAAATGGATATAGGATTAAAAACTAAAATAAGAGGATAAATAATCTAGTTAGGAATGAATAAAAAACAACATAAAAATCATAATTATCCAAATTAAAAAAGAATATAACAATTTTTACCTTTCCTAATTGTATTATCATTCTCATATTTTTCATTTTATAACTCTGAAGAAAGATTCTCTTTGAAAATGAAATACTTTCAGATACTATTTTATAGTAGTTTTTGAATTTGTTTATGACTTTTTCTTGGTTTTAAATCTTTTTTGAAAATAATGACTAGATTACTTTAAAAATGTCTAATGATGAAAATTCAGAGGAAGCTGTTGCATAAATATATTGCAAGTTTTTACTCACCAAAATATTTTGAAGGACTTCTTTTCGATAATGCATTAAGTCATCATGTTCTCTCCGCTCCTGATTTAATTGTTCTACAAAAGGAATAAAAAAGAAAATAATTTTGTATTTATAAGTTCTTATGAATTTCTTGGAGCTAAAAATTTCATTTTCACATAAACATCCACATAATGATCTAAAAATCCTTTATAGAAGAGATGCTTATATTTTGAAAGAATCAGTTAAGTGTGAAATACCTGACACATTATGAAATAGCTGATGTTAAAAATAGATGTACTACAAATTCACAAAATGAAAAACGTTTTTGTTATGAAGTAATCTCTGGAACACGTTGTCAAGTCAACAGATGGTAGCTCGACTGGCATTCACTGTGGCATACTGCATTTATAGCAGTATCTCATTTATATACAATACTATAATTTAATTGTATGGGCTTTGGGAAGTAGCCTAGTCTTGTACCTGTCTCCTCAGAATACTCAAAAGACTTGAGAAAAGAAATAGAAACCCAAATATTTATGATCCATTAGAGTCCATTTTTCCCCACCAGTTAACTGTAGTCAGAATTAAGGAAATGCTTATTTATATGATCAAGTGAAGATTTTTCATGGAGGAGGGGAAATTGAATGTACCATAATCAGTGAATCATAAATTTACTTACCAATCACTTGTTCCCGTCGAGCCCTAAAATCTAAGGAAGATTTAGAAACAATTTCCAATTGAATATTGAGTTCTTCTAATATATCTCTGAAAGCAAGAAATATTTTATTTAAACATAATATCACAAACATTATTGTTCATGTATTATGACACACATTTATAATTAAAAGATTACCAGATAAAAATTCATGTTGTAAGGGTGTAATTTATAAAATTCTTTTCTTGTATTTTTAAGCATAGATGGCATAATACTTTTTAACTATACTATACAAAGTACCATTGATCCTATCTTTATCAACTGGTAAATTTACAAAGGAAGATCTTTGTACTTGCTGCCTAAAAATAGAAATTAGTAATGTGCTAAATTTTATAAACTGGATTTTTTTAACAACATATACAAAAATTAATTTGTTTTTTAGTTGGAATGTATTTGTTAATTTTATCAAATTTTGTTTTATGTGTGTGTGTGTGTGTGTGTGTGTGTGTGTGTGTGCATTTGATGCATGTGTTCAGTTGAAGAACAAAAATTCTATATTTTTTTATTTATTTTTTCTTTCGTTTGGAACATTTTCTTAGTTTCTGAGTAGAGTTTGAACATAAATTGTCCACTGCTATCTGAATTCTTTCAGCTTTCAAAAGCCATTATCAAAGGATTTTTGTTAGTTAATAAGGTTGTCTATAGACATACATTGTGCTTTTTAAGTACTGAATCTTCATGTACTAGTGTCCAGTAATTTTTTTAATTGTGAAATATATTTAATATGTTAGTTACTAAACTGAATGGAATTTTTTTGATGCTGGGTTGTTTGTATTTTATGGTTAAGGTTTCTAATATTTATAGTTGCTTTTACAGTTGATATGGTGCATGTGTACATGACAGGGAATGTCCTTTCTAATTATACATGCATGTATGTGTATGAACTTGCACACAAATGTCTCATATTTAATATATTTACTTGGTTTAGCTATTTCAAACACAAAGATTTTTCAAAAGTTTGTGACATCAATCATCCTGGATAGGCATTTCCATCATACTATTAAGAAGTTGGTTTACATATTTTTATACCAGTATAGATATTTTCATCCTCTGAACTAAGTTTATAATCGCTAAAGGCTAAACTATCTATGAAAGGAAAGGATCTTTTGTTTTACTTTGAAGTGTTTGCCATGTATTTTTTACTTAAATATAATGGAATTCTCAAATAGTTACACATTTGTTAATAACAACTCAGAATATTGCTTAATGTATGTTTGTGTTCTTTAAGTGTATATTAAGTTATCTCTCAAGTATGTTTTATTAAATGTGATGGGACAAGATTTGTTAATAATAAAGATTCTAAGTAACTTAGAATACCTCTTCAAGTGTCAAATTTAAAATGTTACAAGAGTTCTCCTTGACATCTGAAAGTTTAAAAAGTCTCTACTGTTATCATCAAGACTGGTGACTGAAATATTTTGTGAAGAATTCATACAAGATTAATTAATCTTAAGAAACATATAGCTCATGCATGTGCATATTATAAAAATACATACATGTGTATTAGGCCATAGTATATCCTTTAAATGGTATTTTTTTATACTTCATTTGAATCATAAAAAAATGATCTCTAATTAAAAAAAAATTAATCACTCTGGCAAAATTTCATTTTCCCTCTTAAGAGTTTGTTTTTCTCCTCAAAACTGTTTTATCAGTGAAATGTTTTCACAAGGACCATTGCAAAATAGAATAAAGCAGTCAATGTTGAGGGCAGATAAATGATCTTTGTTATACACTCAACCAAAAATTCATCAGTGCAAACAAAATTCTAACTGTCTAACAAGAAGCAGTAGCCACAATGGCTACACTGAAAACTACTCAAGGAACTCATGAAGCAATTTAACTGTGTCACTGTTTAAGCACAATGATTTAGTATTAAGCAAACAATCCAGAGGTGAATAAACAGTGGCTATATTTATGACTAGTGAGGTAATCTGGTATTACCCAGGATATAATATGTGATGTAAGTGATCAAAAGTAGACAAGTTTAAACAAAAGTTTAAATTGGTCCTAGCATTAAATTATAGAAAAAATGGTTTATTATACATATTTGTTTCTTTTAGTTTTAAACTAAAAAGAAATGAAAAATGACTTACTTTTTTAGCTTGGTTTTTATTTACAGAAAATGTTATTTTTCATTCAATACACTTAAAAATAGATTTAAAGTGCAAAAGAAACTCATCTTATAATAAGATTTATTTTGGAGTTTGATTTAATTTCAGATATATCCCACAAATGCCCTTTTTACACTATTACATGTTTTAGTTAATATACCAGTAATATAATTTAGTATATTTTTTATGATATATAACTAAGCTGAGTTCTATTTTGTTATAATGGAATTAAATTCAATCAAAAGCTATGCAAGAGTTTCCACTGATACTGACACATATATTATCTGTCTCAGTAAGTATATCAGATTATTTTTTATAAAAAGTAATCACGTTTGAATTTTAGCTTGAAAGCTCAAGTTCTTTTATACAGTAATCCCTCAATTAGTGTGACTAATGTGTACATTAAAAGATATGCACTAATTGAAAACACATTAATCAAATATAATAACTTATAGGAAATGATGTAATTTGTACCTCAAATTTTAGCATCACTCATAATTAATTTCTAATTTGCATACTTGTTCATTAAAATATAGGTACATATAAAAAGATACAATAAAAATACTATGAATTAATGTTTATTAACCTGATTTTTATGAAAAACTTATTTAGAGTGGTTTGCTGCAGGGTATTCTTCTGTTCTTCATATAATTAGCTTAAAAATTAAATTTTTCTCAATGTTATTCCAAATATCTATAAGTTCTTCTTTTAATTCATCAATATTTTTAAAGACTTTGTCTTCCATTTTTCTTTTCATTAAATTCCATATATTTTTAATAGGGTTTAAATCAGGTGACTGTGGTGCCCAGTCTGATAGTTTTAATTTGTTTAAAAAGAACCCTATGTTATATATATTTTAAATTTTGGGAAATTTTCCAAACATATCATAATCATTAATATTTTAACCCCCAAATTTTATTTATAATCTTTCCATAGTAAATGAATATATTTCGATATTTTTTAATAAATATAAATTTCTGTATCTAATTAAATTATTTTTTAAAAAAAATATTCAAAAATTCCCTCTAAGACCTTCAAAATAAACATGACAAAAAAATCAAAATATTAAAAATTTTAATAGAGGCAAATATTCAAATATGCATTTTTATTATCAGCTTATATTAAAATTTATCTATTTATAACTGTTCATTTTTTTTAACACTATTGTAATTACTTAGATAACATAATACTTGACAAACAAAATTTATAAATTTTATAAAATTTTCAATTAATTGGTAACTATAAACTGAAGAATGTTTTACCGCATAAATCAAGTATTATGAATGCACTAGTCCAATTTTGGTATAACAAATTTTAGTGCACTAATTGAAAATACATTAATTGAGGAATTCCTGCATATTATACTCATAGTAAAGGTATTGTAGGGACTTAAATCAAATTCATCTTATTTTATATAATTTCTACCATATTCTGAGAAATAAAATGCATGAAATGATATTTTCTGTAAAAATTTACATTAAGCTCATATTAAATTCAAAAGAAACAAATTTTTAACACCATTACATATATAAGACTGTCTACATCTATGTCCCAGCTTTGATAAAAAAGGGACATGCAGAGATATTTATGGCTCCCTATATGTGAGTAAAACTGGTAAAATTATATTTCTTGGCAGCATTCCTTCATCATTACAAAAGTGATTGCAACACCTTTGAAATTACTACACATTCAAACTTATTTCAGTATATTTTTATACACTATTTAGTAAGGAAAGATATGCTAAGACCTAATATCAAACACAACTTAACACTGAAGAAGTTAATATATTGAAAGTAGACAGTAAAACAAATCAATTTATATTTGAATACCAAAATAACTGAATTTTATATAACAAAATATTTTCTATATTAATTTTACCTTCAAATTATTAATGGTTGACTATTATTAGATTTTTCAATAATTTTTTGGTATTTATTCTGAATGGGGGTGTAGAAGTGGAAAAGTTTAAAAAGCCACAGCATTACAAACAATGGCAGTATTATAAAAAATGACTTTCTTCTCAAAATATGTTTCAAAACATCATATTAATAATCAAGCAAAATAAGATCATTTTTTTTTTAATTCTATTGTTATCAGAATGATATAACTTTTAAGAGGAAACTTTATATATATTATAGCTTAAGCTTTTTTTGATGCTGTTGATTTTGTAGCTACATCTACTTAAAAAAAGTAAATGGAATCAAGAGAAAATAATAAGAAACACTATTCATTTTGTATCTGTTATTTTGATAGAGAAAAAACAAAATTCTTTTTAACATTTACCTGGCTGAAATAAATCTTTTCCAAAATACCATGGATTTTACAAGTTTAACCTTAAAAAGTATTATTTTTCAGATTTACACTTGCTGATCTAGTTGTGGATGTGAACTATCGTACTCAAAGTGAATTATAGAATATAATATATATACAATAGATAAACCATCATAAAATATAGAAAGTCAGTTTTTAAAATTACCTTTATCCTGGAAAGATAAATAAATAACAGTGACTGCTTTTACAAAGTAGACATAAGCAACTGATGACACTTAAAAAAACATTTCATGCTACAAACTCAAATGACTACCTGTTTTATATTTGCTAATAACATTTTCAAGGCATATCAAACAGTATATGATGAATATATAAGTCTTACTGCAATTTGACATTTTCCTCATCTAATTTAGCCAGGGCAGACTCCAAAGCATTGCCTTGCTGGATCATCATCTCTATGTCTGTCTTCATCTTCTCTTCATCATTTGACATTTCATAAATCTTCTTCTCTAGTTCTTTGCTTTTACACTGCACAAATATATATTTAATGTTTGGTTTGATGATTACAAAACACAGATTTTCATTTGATGCAATAAAATAAAACATACATGTACATGTGTGTGTATGCACAAATGCTTTTGTAAAAGCTGTAAAATTATTTCTCTACAGCTAAATTTAATATTGGCAAGGTTATTACCAAAGTTATAGACTCCATTCTAATCCTGTAATCCAAAGTACTCTACTGTCCATTGATCAGAGTCACCTTACTTTCTAGCAAACCTTTATGATATAATAATTTTAAGTGCTTATGAAACAGAAACATCTTTTATAATATTTTAAGAAATAAAGCTGATTAGGCCATTTAATGCACTACAGTATGTAAATCATAATGCTTTTAAATTTTACTACTAGTCATGTTATTCATTTCTAAATTAGATATTATTTCATCTGTAGAAACAAGAGATTAAAATGTCATTCCATGGCTTTTCTATATTAAATTGTTTATATGAATTACTTACTTTTTCAGTCATTTTGATAGGAACAAGTAAAAATTTGTGTCATTATTAAGCAGATTAGGCATATGATTTAGGTATCAACCCATTCTTTTCACAAGTTTTGATGAATTTCATCTTCTCGGAAGGCTTTATAAATCTAGTCTCAGAAATTTGAAAACACTAAGAAATGCTTTTCTAAATAAAATTGATTACCTCAACTTCAAGAATGATGAGTAGAGAAAGTAACACAGGACATGTTCAAACAAGTTATACAAAGAGCAGAGATAGTGATGCAGTTATTGCAAAAGCCTAATGAACAAAGACAAATTTGGTAACCATAATGGAAGAGACAATGAGAAACAACTAATGTAAAAAAAAAAAAAAAAAACTTGTTTGTTTTCAAAATGACCTGAAATCTGAAAATAACTGATGGAAAGTACATCACACATAAGTGAAAATTTCCAGTAAAAAAAAAAAAACAACATTGGTTAGAACTAATAATGGGACAAATACAAATGTTTGGTATTGAAGAAATGTAATGAGGAATTGTACCTACTAGACAGGGATGGAAATCAGGTGATATTAAAGATACTGTGCATCATTTCCTACTCACATGATATGAGGGTAGTGGATAGATCAAGGCAACTGGAGATGTCGATTGACATTACACTTGAATAGCTGGAGATTATAGCACACAGGGAAACAGGGGAAGGGAAGGGAGTTCCACAGGCGAGAGGTGTGAGACATGAAGCTATTAGAGTAGAAGAGACGGCTACATTTAGGAGTTTCGACAGTGAAGGGGTGAGAGCGGGATGCCAGCCTCATAGGGTGCTGGAACTCATGACGTCTGGGAACCAGCGAATGCAGCTCCTCGGAGCAATTTCCATGAAAGTATTTGTAGAACAGACAGGGAGGCGACGGCGCGTCTGTGAGAAAGTGACTGTAGATGAGACGCCAGGGCAGGGCCAACCACATTGCATATCCACCTCTGGAGCCTATCAAGAACCCCCAGGCAAACAGAAGGGGCACCAGACCATATATGGCAGCAATACTCCCTGCAAGGGCGAATTGTGGATTTGTAGATCTGGAGGATCGACTCCGGGGAGAAAAACTTCCTAGCGTGGCTCAGGGAGCCAACTTTCCTTGCAGTGGACAAGGCAATTGACTCAATGTATTTATTCCATCTCAGGTCAGCAGTCAACGTGAGACCGAAAAGCCGCAGAGAGTTGCTCTTGAGAAGTTGAGCGTCAGACATTCTAATGGAGGGAAGGGAAGGATCTCTGTGGTGATTAATAGAGAGCAGTTTTGTCTTAGAAGCATTGAAGTTGACCAGCCAATTCATGCCCCAGTTCACAATCGATTGGAGGTCCTTTTCGAGACGCACGGCCAGGTGAGTTTTGTCAGCGAGACTAGATTTGTTTTTGAGGCAGGAATAAATTGTGGTGTCATCTGCGTAGATGCCAACTTGGGAAGTTATGGCGTCAGGAAGGTCATTTATGTAGATAAGGAATAGAGTGGGGCCTAGGATGGAGCCTTGAGGAAATCTGCGTTCGTTGGATAGGAACTGGAGGAGAATCCGTTGAGAACGACCTTCAATTCACGGTTTGACAGGAATGGTTGTATTAGGTTATATAATCGACCCGTAATGCCATAACCCTGGAGCTTGCGAAGAAGGCCAGCATGCCAAACCCTATCAAATGCTTTGGAGATGTTTAGTGCCACGGCTCAGGCTTCCCCGTTATTTTGGAGAGCTCGGTAGACTGTTTCAGTGATGGCCGTAAGCACATCGGCTGTAGATCGGGCAAAGCGGAAACCATATTGCTTGTCTGAGAGCAGATTATGGGATGTGAGGTGGTTAACCACCCCAGTATTGATTAGGGCTTCGAAGACTTTGCCGAAGAGGGGAAGGAGACTGATAAGACGGTAGTTGGAAGGGTCAGAGGGGTCGCCGGAGTTCTTGAAGACAGGAACAATCGAAGAGGACTTCCAGCAGTCAGGAAAACAAGATTCCTTGAAGCAGTAATTGTATAGTTTCGAAAGGGCGGACGCCAGTTCAGGCGCGCATTTCTTCAAGACAATGGCTGGTATCCCGTCTCCACCACTAGCTTTGTTGGGATCTAAATTAGAGATAACGCCCAGTACCAAAGATGGGGTTATGTTTAACCCACTCAATATGGCCTCAGTTCTAAGAGGGAAGTCGGGTATGTGTACACCGGAAGAGTCGCGCTTCAAATTGAATGAAAATTTCCGAGCAAAGCATTCAGCCTTGTCGGTAGAGAAGGTCAGGACTTCAAACTGGTTGAATAAAGGAGGTATAGAGGGTTTGCAATTGTTCAATACGCTCTTGCAGAGACGCCAATAATCTTTGGAGCCAAATTTGCGAGATGCAATACGTTCCTTCATTCGAGCCGCAAATAGTGACTTAGCATCGTTGAGGACACGCTTACATTCGTTACGGGCGGAGGCAAAGAGACGTCTATTGCAGTCAGACATATCGCTACGGTATAGGTGGAAGTAGTGGTTCCTATGGGTGATGGCGGCTGAGCAAGCAGCCGAGAACCAGGGGGAGGAGCGCGACTTGACCCTATAATTCCTTGATGGGATGAAAGCGTTGATTTCAGCTTTAACCCAGGAAGAGATCTCAGAAGCACATTCTTGGACGGGGAGCTTAAAGACTCCATCCCAGGGGACATCGTGGAGGAAATCACGGAACGCGTCCCAGTCAGCTCATTGATAGTAGAACAAAGTTCTAGTGGTAGGAGGTTCTTTATAGGGGGTGGAGTTAAAGGAGATGTTAAACGATACTACTGCATGGTCAGAGTTACCAAAAGGGCAGAGTTGTGAGGCGCTGCAGGATTCGGGGATGGAGGTAAAGCACAGGTTGAGTAGAGAGGCTTTATCTTCCCGGTTGAAGGCAAAACGAGTGGGGAAGTTAACTATCTGTGTGAGAGAATGGGAGATTGAAAAATTGAGCGCTTGAATGCCTGCGTGGTCAGTAGTAGCATTCTTAAGCCACAAGGTGTGATGAGCGTTAAAGTCACCAAACACAAAAATGTGAGCAAACGGGAGGAGGGAGAGAGCCTTGTCTGTGCTGTCAGAAATGCTATTGAGTATCTCACAGTCTTGAGAGGATGGAGAGCGGTAAAGGAAGAAGAGATAGCTTACCGCATTGAGGAGAGAGAGTCGGAGACACATGTATGACTGGTCTGGCGATTTGAGAGAGGACTCTCTGGCCAGAGGGTGATGTTCCTTGACGTAGACACCAAGACCGTGCATGTGGGTTAGAGAGTCTTTTCTGAGGAGAGGAAGATAGCCGGGGATCGAGAGATCAGAAGAGGGGATAGACGAGACAAGGTTTGTCTCACAGAGAGCCAGTATATCCGGGCCGTTTGCCGTGAGAAAAGATTCCAGACTGCAGAAGTTTGTCCTAATGCCCTGGATGTTGGAGAACGAAATGTTGAGGGGTTTAGGTGGTTTTTGAGAGGCTGGTTTAGGGTTAATCTTTCGGTTTTTGTAACTCATGTTGAATTTTGTTTGTAAGATGAGAAGGCCCGAAGTAAAAGAAGCAGACAGTTTCAACCATGACGCGGGCAGAGAGGAGTTGGCAAAATCTGTATCATTATGTGGCCTCAGGGCTGCCCACCGGAGGTGACTGCAGGGACACCTTTCCATGCGCAACATGGCACTACAAACACCCCAGTATTATACAACTGTTGATCAGAGCCACTCAAGACGCTACGCAAGAGTTAGGGCCCTAACTACCAGTCGGAAACAGCAACCAGAGAACTGTCAACCGTACCCTCAGAATGAAGAGGTGATGCCACAGACTGCACACATCACGGGAGAAACAGAGCTGCACTAATACAGAGGCCGGAGAGAGAAACAGTACCGGGAACCCCATCCTAGACAAGAAACAAGGTGTAAGCCTCTACTCATGTCCAATAGAAGGGGGAGGAGTGTTGACCGGGCGGTAGAAGAGTCTACCTACTCCTATTACAGATAACACGAAAAAGGACGACAAAACAAGAGGGAAGGATTGGGAGGGGAGATAACAGGTAAGGAGTCCTGGATCACACTTGGCTATACCCTATCACATTAAGTTTTAACTTAGTATAAGTCCCATTGTCTATTCTAAAAAGGAAATTGAAAAAAAAAAGGTTACCCGGATTTATTATTGCATCTAGCCAAAGACATTTAATTTTCCATTTTTCCCGTTTTTTTTTTTTATCTTTCGAACCGGGATTTCTTACTAAACTATCAAATAAGGGAGAATCATTGGGACAAAATGTCTTTGAGTGGGGGGAGGGAAAAAATAGAAAAATTTAAAAATGAAAAGAACAAAAAGAAAAAAACAAAGAAAAATATAAATGGGTTTCTGCTAGAGCGAAACTATACTCACATGGGCCAGCTAGTGGTTGTCTGCCTTCTTCCTCATGATGGTGACTGAATGTACGGCTTACCTTATGTCCAAGCGTCGACCCGGTGGGGTGGGGGGGAATCAACGGCCAATCCTCCACCCTCACCAAGTACTGGGTTTGGGAGATATGCTTTCAATAAGATTTAGAACAGGAGATAGAAGCGGCTAGAACAATTCCAAGTTCAGACAATATATCAAGCGAAAAGATACTGTCACAACATCATTAGAATACTGACGAGACACCTTCGCATCTAGTCAAAGACATTTAATTTTCGATTTTTCCCGTTTTTTTTTTTTTTTATCTTTCGAACCGGGATTTCTTACTAAACTATCAAATAAGGAAGAATCATTGGAACAAAATGTCTTTGAGTGAGGGGAGGGAAAAAAATAGAAAAATTTAAAAATGAAAAGAACAAAAAAAAAAAAAAAATCTATCTTTCTCTTTATCCTTTCCTCAAACACCTCTCTTTACTCTTATTTTCTTTCTCTGTAACCCCTTGTGTGCTAGTGGCATTCCAGCCTTGCTTGGGGTGAAATGCTTAAAAAAAACAAAACAAAACAATGCTCCTTCACATTTTGAAAAACTGATTATTGCCCACCTTGCCAAATTATTAGCATGCTCTCTTCTAGCCTTTCCAGATATATTAATCCACTAGAAAACATGAGATCCTTCATGAAAAGTGATATGCATAAAAATGGAAAATGATATTCAAACAAAGACCTCTGGGAAATAATAAAAATTGCTGCAAGTATTGTTAAAATCAAAACAAGAAAAAGCTTACACAATAAAAAAGTTAACACAATCAATATTTAAAAAATTGATGAAGGTTATAGAATGTCAAGGAACTCGTATTTACATGTAAAAATGTAAGTTCTATGCTAATAGTTTCTTCTCTTACACTTCTTGCTTGTGGAACTCTCTTCTGGCTTCTTGCTTTCCAGTCAAAATCTTCAAAAATTTAAATGTCAATGTCAATCATTATCTTCTGTCACCTTAATTTCAGTTCTTTTATTGTTCTCTTTCATTTATAGTGTTTTTCTCATATTTTCTCAAACTCAGTAACCCTTTGCATCTTAGTGGCTTTATTGCTTTGCTTGGGATGAAATGATTAAATTAAATAATAAAAGTATTTATTCAGGTATATGGCATATTGTGTGAATCAAATATTTTTAAAGCCTATTTGTTTTTAATTTATTTGTAGGTAGAAATTTACATTGCACTTGATTTGCATAATAAAGCTCCACCCTCCAAAAAATTGATATTTTTTAATGAGGCTAGATATTATAAGCTGAAACTCACATGATATATTACTGATATAAATATATCCTGAACATTTAACCTTGATCAGTGGTTAATACCAATTTTATTGTGAAAATGTTAACTTGTATAATAAAATTTGACAGTGTACATACCTCAGACATATCCTTAAAAGGTGTCAAAGTATCCAGATAGGTTTCATTATCTTGAATTAATTTGTCAAATTCTTCTTTAATACTGATCTTTTTCTTTTCCAAGATGTCCAGTGCCTGCATACAGGTAAAAAAAAACAAAAAAAAACACCTGTTTAACCTATTTTCATTCCTGAGTACTGAAAATATAAATAAATTGTTCAATAATTTTCAGTGATGTCCATAAAGTAAAACTGACTATATGGCTTTGCTTTTCTTGAACTTTATTTGAAAATTTGTTGTTGTTTTTTGAGAGATTAAATATGCTTAAAATGATTTTGTTATTGTCCAGAATGATGATGATGATATTTCATCATTCTAAAAATAACCTAACCTACTATAAAAACTACCTACACCATTACAGTTTAAAGAACCAAATCACATCCAGAGTTCAGAGAATCAAACATTCTTTTAAAAAGAAAAAATTCAAATAAGATTAAATATTTTATGTAAACTTGAAAATGATATCTTTTATTTTTATCAACTGATACACATTGTGATTGATATTGGGATTGTACTTTCATTTTTGAGGCATTAAAATTTTGTCAGTCTTTTTTTATGTTGACAGTGTTTCTATTTTGGTATGATTATTATCAGCAAATCCTTTCTAAGGAGTTTGAAACAGTGACAAGAATCTATTGACATGAATTCCAATTGTCATTAATGTAGTTTATTTAAATTGATTAAAGTAAAGAAAAAGCAATTTACCTGTATTTTTTGTTGTTTCAGATTGCTTAGCTTTTTAATTTTATCTTCAAGCTTTTGCAGAGCACTCTTGGCCTCACTCACCATAAAAAGAAGCTAAAAAAAGTCACACTTCAAATAAGTCACTATTTAGCATGTAACATTTGCACTCATGTTTAATATACAGATAATTCTTTTATTATTCAGTATTTATTGATGAAAAAAGATCTAAATACATTTTGAAATATATTTAATTTTTATTTTTAAAAATATCACACTTGAATGGAGAATATATAATGGAAAATAGATAAAATGCAAAAATCTTTTGTACAATATTTAGTTGTTTCAATAAGGATTGTCTTTCATGCAAAAACTGACAAGAGAAGGAAATGGAAAATGTCTGAATCATTTATTTTGCCACCAGCAAAACTGAGCAATTAATTTTTAGAATACAAATTATGTTAATCAATCTATCTTTCTCAAGGAAAATCCTACAACTTTATCTTGTTTTAATAATAATAATCTGTTTATTTAATGATCTATACTCATGGAACGCATACAAAGACCACTGTTGGCCTATATTGAGAGCCTGCCATGAATCTTAATCCATTCCATTTGATATTTTATTTGAGTACCAAATGTAAAAGCTCACTAGAGTAAAGACCATACATGTGATTTAATATCACTGATTACTCTCCTAATAGACATGTACCTCTTTGTAAGCTCAACATCCCTGCACAAAGAAACTTATTCATTGCTCCCCATTGAAACCAGCTCTACTCACCTCGCTACATTCATAACTAACTACTTTGCACAACTGTTTAGCCAAATGGGCCTGTAAGTTTCACACATACACACTATGTGAGCCTCTGAAGGCACATGCATTTGGTTAGCACTGTATTTAGATACACAGTGTTAACACCCATTACATGATCTACTAGAGACACCAGAAATCTACAACTTTGTATAAGTTGTAGATTTCCAAAACCATATCACATAACTAGTAGTACCAAGGACATTAAAGAGAACAACAGAAGTTAAACCCTTTAAATAAATCTAATCATTGTCTGATGTATATTTGAGAGACAAATTATGAGCCTTCACTTAATCACATATAAGACGTAAGTGCACTTATTAGACCCAATTTAAAAACTGACCTTTTCTTTTTCTTCTTCTGCTTCAGCTTTTACATTTCTCAGTTCAAATTCCAGATCTTGAATCTGGGTTGTCATATCTAAGTAGGCTTTGTTCTCACTGTCTATTTCTTTTCGTATCTGTTGAATAGTTTGCTGCAAATGCAAAATGAAATAATTACATGCATTATTATTAATATCAGTACTATAATAGCAGGAGGAGGAGGAGGACAGTGGTGACATTGATGATGACAATCTTGTTGACCAAAGTATCCTTTCAAATAGAGTGTAGCAATTTCAGTATATTGCTAAATTTGTTTAACCATGCTGTCAGAAATCTAAATATAGATTTAAGGTTGGCTAAGTACAATAAAAGATAATCTTAACTCATATTTATTAATTTCTGCTAATAATTTTCATTTTTTTCTTGTTTTGGTAACAGACATAAACTATCCGTTCACTTCTAAAGTTATTTCCTTTGGATAGTTGGTATTATATATGTATAAAAAAAAATGAATATGTTCAGGACCATTTTTATTGCTTCCTCTGGAATTATTTTGCTTCCAGGAGTGATCAGTTTCATTTGGCTCCAGTACTAAATACCCTTCTTCTTAGAATTGCACAGTTTCTTGGTGATCTGAGCAAAACTCATGATTACCTCACCCAATCGCATAAAAGTATGCAAATAAAAACAAAGTTAACCACTAATAATTTAAATGTGTTTGCATCAGTTCAAATTAAAAATGGTAAAAAAAAGCAGCATGAATTTCCACAAGAAAACATCTCTACTAGTTTGAAAAATGGTAATGTTTATTATCAATCTTTTTACACAAGTTACTGATAAATTGCAAAGTGACTAAGTGGTTGGATGGGTTGAGTTGGGTTGGTTGATTTTATGCTGAGTTATTTAATGTTGAATTTTGTATGGAACACCTAGTGAAGATCAAACTCACTACTCAATAATAATGGTCAATCAAACTAAACCTTATCCCATAACAACTTACCCATGATTAAATGACTTTCAAATTCCTCTTGAACAGCCTAATGGAAAGCTTTTTGTGTGCTTGGTACCATTGGATTGTGTTCAAGAACAATTTCAATCACTGGGATAGATTTCCCTTTGGGTTCTACAAATGGAGTAGTAAATCCATCTTTGTCTATTGTTTTATATTCTACAATGAACATCTTCTGGACCAGTCAATATGAAAAGGGTCTCCACTTCTGTGTTCTTTCAAACCCATTCTTGAAGTGTTGTGGGCATTTCCCTTAAGGTATTGCACAAATATGTTTCACATGTCTCTTCATTGTCTTTAGCCTGCATTCTCATATATCACTTCTCCAACTGCTGGCAACAACTCATCTATCCTTTGTTCACTTATCATTGCTCTTGTAATTATCATATCACCCACCCTATAGACTTGAACTTTGAAACTTGTCTTCTCTGGGATTTCTCCCTCATGGTTACAGATAATCTATTGCATAGTTGATATTCCATCAGTAACTTTACTGGAAATGCTCCTCTCACATTATGGAAATGCATCTGTAGGAAAATAGCAATTGGCTTACTTTTGTTTCCAATAAAATCTTTCAATTTCTCTAACACAGACTTTTTTTTCTACTTAGGCAAAACAGGGTTTTCCTTCATTTTACTAACTACTTTCGTGTTTGTTGTGTGGGTTCTTTCTATACCTAAAATTCATATTTTTTGCTTGTGAAGCCACTTCATCTTTATATTAGAAATGTAATCTTGAAAATCTGTCAACATTTTCATTCAACTGATCAGATTAATCTTTGAGTTTATAGTTGTATGCTCATAAAATCAAACTCCATTTCTGAATTATGTGCTGCCTGAAACTTGGTATGTATTTTTGTATCCCAACTGTCCTAAGAGAAGTTTGTGATCTGTACTAATAACACACTTTTGAATTCACAAATACTAGCAAAATTTGCATAAATGTTAAAGACCCTTTCTCAAAGTTGCTGTAGTTTTTCTCTGCAAGTGTTAGTGTTCATGAGCAATCAGTTTTTCTGAACCATTTAGCGTAATGTGCATCTATACTGCCCACCATCCTGTATAGTGATGCATTACAAGTGATATTGCTTGAAAGACCTGTAGCATAATGGATCAACAATCCAGCATCCATCAGCATCATTTTTTGCTGTTTACAAAAATTCTTCTTGCTCTACTTTCCAAATCCTTGTGGTGATTGGTGTGCAGATGGGCAAGAAATCAACATATGGACTCCCTGGTGATAGGAGTGGTACTGGAAAGAAATGTAACCATTTTGGAAGATGCATGGTGTCTGAAACCAACAAATGATGCCCAGCACATCAATCTGGCTTAGCTGAATGCTGTACTGAAGGGCCTCAATCTGGCAATGCACTGTTACAAGGTGTTACATGTCAAAACAGATAAATCATAGATATTCACTATAGCAGTGAACATCCAGAATGTATGTCCAAACAAGATCCTGTACATAATTAGATTCTGTGCTGAAAGTAGAACAGTAGACCTAATTGGTGAAAAAGCAAACAAAGTAAGCAGCACCACTATGGTAATGGTAATTATTTGACCTGGACAGATTGTGGTTCAAAAAGATTCAATGTAAGTTGGTTATTGGCCTGACAGGATTTGTTGAGCATAATTAGTCAATTGGGGCATGTTTTTTTATGAAAGAAGTTTACCTCACCAACTACTCACAGATAATAAAACCATCAAGAATTTCAGTGTTTTCATGAAAGAATAAAGCATGTACTTGAGATTTCATTGTGTTCCTGTCCCAGCTGGAATTGGAATAGAGGAACAGTGTCATATAAATATAAAGAGAATTGCAACCAGAAAGAAATGTTCAATCTAAGAAGCCACATATTGGTATAATGTTACCCACAAGGATGACATCTTACTGATCACTGTGCCTGTTAATAGGATCTACATCTATGAGGTTTGACTCAAAGATACGCCTAATGAAGCCCAATGCAAATTGCACACAATACAAGGTGAGAGATCATGTGTGTATGAAACTCTCATACAATGCACAACAGGACAGATCACTGAAATTTTCAGTTCACAATTGGTTCTAGAGGATGAAGTGCTATGCAATGTCAGATAATCTAAAAACACTTGCTCTTTTTAATATCCAAAATATTTTCTAAATATTTTGATACAACATTAACTGATAAGAATAACAAAAAATTAGAAGTATAATATCTCTTACCTCCAGAGCCTTTTCCTTTTCCATATTCTTGAGCTGTTCTTTCTCTAGTGCCACGTCTAACATTTTGTTCACTTCTTGCATCCTTTTTAATTCCTCAAGTGTCAAAGCAATTTGATTTTCATTTTTCATGAGTTCATGTGTTATTCGCTTCAGATTCTTCTCATAAAATGATTTCTGTTTTTTGCTGTAGATAATAAAACAAAAATATCATTTCCCAATAGATTCATCATTCAGCTGGTTTGTAGCATCTTTATTCCAAATGTCACATGCATCACAGCAACAACATGAGAACTCAATTTGAAGGAGAAACTACTTGCTCAAATCCTCCACTACAAATTTTAAAAAATTTAATTAACTGAATTATGCACTGTCAACTAAACAATATCTTCTCTTTTTATAGCAAATCTATTTTCAGCAAACTCATACATCTGTGTGGGTAACATACATAGTTAACACATATATTATAAGACATAAAACTTAGGACAAAAGACACTTTGAAATTTATTTTACTGAGTATAAATTTTTTTTTTTTTTACTGTTGGTTATTGATTCTTAAATAAAACAGAATAACGCAATTGATTTTTAACTGAAAGAAACAGAATGATAGGTGAGTAATTAGTTTCTTTGAAGTCTACTCAATAATAACAATACTGTTCAAATTTCATGATTTTCAATATTAAAAGAAAATACTAATTTTTAATTAACTAATGATTTATAATTTCGATTACATATTTTAAAGTAATTTTTCTGCTAAATTGTGAGGAAAAGTAAAAAGGTTAAACTTACCATTCTTCTATTTGCAACTGCACGGATTCAATTTTGGAATTTTTAGCATAATTGTTATCTATTAATGATTGCAAATCATGCTCTAGACTTAGATGTTCCTTGTCAATTTTTACTTTCTTTGTATTAAATTCATTTTTCTGTAATTACAAATAATATTCATTGAAAATATAAGATGCACCAAACTTTTGCTTCTATATCATAAAGTAAGAGTCAATAAATTTAACTTGATTAAATATCAAGTATGAGTAAAATACTGTGTTTTATTTATTTATATCATACTTCTGTATAAACAAATGGCCTCTACTTAAATGACAATAAATAAAGACATTGATGCTATTGCATTTGCAGTAATTTTGAAAATGGGATGGATTGACTGATCTGATTCTTTCCCTCATTACTCATGTCATCTTAACTGTGAGTAACAACACCAGAATAAAATGGCTAGAATGAAACTAGGAAAAGAAAGGTCTTTTCTTTTATTTCACCAGCAAAGTTTAAACTGAATTCTATCACTTTGATTTGTTCTTTATATATATAAAATAAAATAATATCAAATAAAAAATAAAATCAGTAACAATGAAAATGATGGGCTAGGTAAAATATTGTTTGTCTCATGTATTTATTTTAAATGGTATTTTATTTTGTTTACTAGCCTGTAAACTCAAGAAGACCTATTAAAGAAAATGTGCTCTCTAGCAGGATTCAAATCTGTGTCCTTTTTGCAAGAAAAACTGCTGTTTGATCCAATGTGCTTTAACCACTTGGCTACGAAGGCCTACACAATCAAGCAACATTCTATTTGTCTTTAAAGGCTTCATTGTGAAGCTCTTCATAGTCAAGTATTTAAAGTATATTAAAGTACATCAGATCAAGCAAACATTTCTTCTGCAAAGGAGGACACAGGTTCAAATCCTGCTGAGGGGCACATGTTTTTTTTTCTTAAGTTTTCTCAAGTGTGTAGGGTGGTTGACAAAATAAAATACTATTTAAAATAAACAGAGCATCTACTCAAATATGAGTATTTACTAAAAATAATGTTTGAAGTAATATATATATATGAATAAATATACATATCCCTCACTGATAGCACAATTCAGGGTTTCAATCTTCAGGTCCTGAGTATAGACTGACCGTTGCGTAATTTAAATTATTAAAAAATATACCTGGTTATTGCAATGTTTTTGCAGTTATATATTATACTGGGAATACAGTTTTTTAATTTTAAAAATTATATTTGGCATTTAAAATAAATGAAATTATATATATATATATATATATATATATATATATATATATATATGTAAAAAAAAAAAAAGGAAAAATTTTTTTTATTTTAGAGTAGTGAATATTAATTTTTTATTAAAGAGAGATTACTTGTTCTTTTTTATAACAAAATAATAAACCCTAAGTTACCTTAAAAATAAATTGTAATTTATATTAAAAATTAATCTGGAGCAATGTATTTAAGCAGATATTTATTTTTATGCCTACATGTAACCATCAATTCATTTCTCTTGATTTAATAAGCTAGGGTTATTTAAGTGCTTCAAGACAACCAATTTTTCAACAAGACATAAGTTACATCTATTTACCTTTCCCATTATAAGATTTGGCTCTTGCTATAATATTCCAGTTTATAAAAGGTGAATTGTCATCATTCTTTAATTGCCAGAAATATTTGGAGAGAGCAGTGCTGTTTTTGTATTTTATATTACCTAAAGTCATTTGATGATGGTAGAAACAAAATTTTCAAGGACTTTCAGTAGAACTAAAATAAAATTTAACATCATTACCATATTGCATGCTCACTTGGTATACAATATTATCAGTCATACATTGATCATTTAAGGAACAGATCATATTTTTTTTGCAGTTGCACTTGTTTTTAGAAAAATTTATGTTGTCTTTGTTGGAAATATATTTGTTTAATATGACGTTATGTTGTCTGTTATTAATGTAGTTATAGCTGATCTTAACATTTTTGTTAAAAATCTTTTTTAGTGTTGGTGAATAGTTAAAATGCTTATGGATTAAACTTAGGAAAATTCTTCCAATACTAATATGAACATTATGATTAAAAGGTGGATTAGACCATGATTTTACACTTATGGTGTTTCCGTTTATTTTTACCTTCTTTTTTTTTCTAAATACTCTAAATTTATTTTATGATTGCTTAGTTCTAAAGCCTTTATATATTTGTTATAGACAAGCATATGGTTGCAAGAAAGAAATACGACAACAGTAGAAATAAATTTACATGATTTATTTCAATAGGAACGTGTGGTTTTGGGACAGCTACCTTGTGGTATAGTTCATAGGCCGGCTGAAGATCTGGGTTGATCTCTCATAGTAGTTCTTGCTGGTTGGCGTGGCGCTACTGCTGCTGACCACTCAGCCTGACTGTGACAGGTCTCTTCCCTGTCCTCCTGTTGACTCCGTTGTACTTCCGCGTGACCCCTTTTATGGCGTTTTTTTATGGCTTGACAGGCTCGCAAAATGACGCAAGTATAATTAGGAGGGAAGCATTTTTATTGGTCAAAAAATAGAAACACTTTAAAATATTATTTTATTTTTCGACTGGAACTCGTGCATTGGGAATATGTGTAAACGCGTAAATATGGTCATTTTGTGACGGGGCCTTGTCTCGTTCACATCCAGCTCTCGCTCTTGAGTATAATCAGCCGAGATATGTCTTATTTTATTTTATAACAAGACTCCCCCAGATCTAGGTCTGACTTACAGTGAGCGTTATTCATGTATATTTGGGTGATTAATTCATGATAAAGTCTCTGAAGCGTGTGGGAAGTTGTCCTCGTGTTCTTCTTATTGGCATTTGTTTTGGTATGGAGTTATTTGCTGAATTACGTGTCCCAGAGGGATGTGGAGGAGAATGACCCTGGTGAGTGTTACATGGTGGAGGCAGAGGGATTGTATTAGATAGATGTATTGGATGTGGAGCCAGTCGTCGGATATGTGCATGGTGAATCCAGATTGTATCACCATTATTGTTTTGCACCTGACACATCATATTGTTCATTTTTATAATGGTGTAATTTCCTATCCAGGGCAGATGAGAGGATTGGGCAACAGTTGAGTGTGACCGGTGAAGTAAAACTTTGTCACCTACTTGTATTGGGTCCTTGTATGTGAGGCGATTTAAGTTAGTCTCAAGTTTGTGGTCAGCTTCATTGTTGGCCAGGGTGATGTGGTGGTGAACCTGCTTTAGCAGAGCATTAATTTGCATTCCATATGCTCCAGGATTGTCACTTGCGATTTCTTTTCTGTGTAGTGTGGGTAGGCCAATGTTGGGGTGACACCGGTGGCGCTGTTGGTCGTGGCATTCATGGATGAAACGACAGATTCTGGAACATCTGTCCATTCACAGTTCCTGTCTTCGCATAACATATAAAGTGCGTTCTTCATCGTGTGATGTTGTCTCTCAATATTTCCTGAGCTTTGCGGGTGCCAAGGGCAGTGAAGTTCTTGCATGATTGACATCTGGTTACAGAATTGTCGATAGACTTCTCCAGTGAAGTGTGTGCCTCGATCAGAGGATACTATGCGTGGAATCTGTGTCGAAGGAAGAACTGGTACAATATAGAAATAGATTTACATGATTTATTTCAATAGGAACGTGTGGTTGTTGGGAAAGCTACCTTGTGGTATAGTTCATAGGCTGGCTGAAGATCTGGGTTGATCTCTCATAGTAGTTCTCGCTGGTTGGCGTGGCGCTACTGCTGCTGGCTGCTGCTGACCGCTCAGCCTGACCATGACAGGTCTCTTCCCTATCCTCCTGTTGACTCCATTGTACTTCCGTGTGACCCCTTTTATGGCGTTTTTTTATGGCTTGACAGGCTCGTAAAACGACGCAGGTATAATTAGGAGGGAAGCATTTTTATTGGTCAAAAAATAGAAACACTTTAAAATATTATTTTATTTTTCGACCGGAATTCGTGTGTCAGGAATATGCGTAAACGCGTAAATATGGTCATTTTGTGACAGGGCCTTGTCCTGTTCACATCCAGCTCTCGCTCTTGAGTAAGTTAGTTTATTTGCCTGCAAATCAACCAAGATATGTCTTATTTTATTTTATAACATATTTAATTTTATTATTATCAAATACTTCTTTATTTCTGGAGTTGGTAAATAATCTAACTTGGACTGATTTATATTTCATGGGCCTGTTTTATGGAGGAGAATTACACTGTCATCTCTATAGAGTTTAGTGTTCTTAATGTCGAAAATAAATCTCCACAACAATAAGATTCCAACTAATTCACATATCTCTGCTGAATCGAATGCTCCTATAGCAATATTAAATTAATTAATTTAATTAATATTGCTAACAGAACAGTAATTTCTTGCTAGATTTATAGCAGCCATTAACAGATTCTCAGTGATGGATGGGTAAAAGTCACAAATATTGAATTGAATGAATGTACATTCATTCTTTCTTTTTATATTGGTAAACCATTCTATGGCTCCTACTGTCTTATGCCACTGGTTAATTCCTAGAGCATTTTCCATGTATTTGCATGCTCTTTCAAGAAAGTTTTTGCTGGTTTTGCTGATATTATTTTTAGTTGGGTTGAGTAATTGGTAATGAGGTGTGTTTAGGAAATTAGCTCTGTGGTCTTTAACCATGATGAATGCTTGTTGTTTGTGGAATTTGTAGATCCTATCATCAATATTTTTAGTTTATATATATATATATATATATATATTGTGTGTGTGTGTGTGTGTGCAATTCACTCCAGAAAATACCAGATAATCTAAAATAATGAATTTAATGTCCATAAGGAAGCTTTGTTCTAAAAGAAGTTGATCTGTGATGATCCCAATATATACTGGTCTCAACCCAGATGATACCAAAATAGACATTGCACTCACTGTTACACCAGAGGATCAGAGAAGCCAGGTGCACCAGTGGGTTGACCTGAAAGATGCACCTCTGTGTGGTGGTTAGGAGGTGCCATCACACAGAGATTTACACCTTCACTGGATGTCAATAGCTGACCTTGATATGTAAGCAGGTGGTCAATCCAGCTGTGCACAGACAGAATAGCAGGTGGATATATAAATGCTCCACCCAAGAGGGAGAAAGCAGTATGTCTCTCACATCCTTGTAAGAAGAATTTCTGTTTGGAGAAAACCCCTAAATTCACACACCTACTCACTGGTACTGACAAAGTCTGAATGTTGAATAAATAATAATAATTCTATGTGTAAGAGATTTAGTCTTATATTGCTTATTAGTCTGTACAATGATAACATTACATATACATACACATATGTGTGTGTGTTTGTGTGTATGTTTGTACAGATAGTATCTTTGAAGTACATGTGCTTTCTCAAGAGTAAATTTAAAGATAGCTGGATTTGAAATAGTGTCTTTTATATCATCAGCCAACATTTTATATTATTATATTCCTAAGAAACTGTATAAAGAATTTAATTCTGTAGGTCATGCAGGTGTTTTCTAAAGATTCAAATTGCATTAAAACGCCATCAACTCTACTCTGTATAAATGCATTTGCCATTCTTCATCTTTGTGCGCCATGTCCCCTCCACAATTTCCTGTCCTTTGTAGCTCTTAATAAATTTTGTATTTTCATTATTTCTCCTAAACCTTGTTCCACCAACCATTTACTTAAGCTCATCAAGTATGTTATGCACTGTTTTCCTCTGTCTCTCAATCTGTCCTGTAAGTATAAGATTTTCAAGCCCTCCTTCTTCATTATGTGCCCCAGAAATTTCAACTGTCTCTTCCAGATGTTAAGTATAAATTTCCTATTTGTTTCCATTTTCCAGCCCATGGTATCCTTAGCATCCTTCTGTAGAACCACATTTTTGTTGCCTCAAGTATCTTCCTAATCTTTGATAAGATTTTCCATATAGGAGGACAGACATCACATAACAGTTTAGTACTCTTTTCTTTGTTTCTAACAAAGTTTTTCTGTTTCTTAATACTCTGCTTAGCTTTTGGAATACATCTTTGACTATCCCAATGTGTCTTCAGATTTCAGTGTTGCACTTTCTGTCTTCTGTTAAAACACTTCCCAAATATTAAAATTTTTGTACTTGTTTGATTTTGGTATCTCCCATTTGTAATTTGTATTTTGGGCTCATCCTTTTGTTAACAACCATGCATTCTATCTTCTTGCAGTTTATGTTTAGGCCTTTCTTCTTGCTTTCCTTTGTTATCTTCTGTAGGACCTTTTGTAGTTTTCTTTCTGTGTCTGCTAGCAGAACTGTGTCATTTTATGTTGTTAATATTGTAGCCACCAATAATGAATCCTGGTAGATCTAATTCTCTCAGAATTGCTTCGCTGTATAGGTTGAATAAGTTTGGTGAGAAGACACATCCTTGACTTACACCCCATTCTATTTTTGTATATCTGCTGAACTTATTTTCTGTTTGTATGCAGGCGGTTTGTTGCCAGTATAAGTTTCCCAAATATGTCACGGTTGCTGAGCAGTTTCAACAAATTTTTGTGATGTACTTTATTGAATGCTTTTGCATAATCTATAAAACACAGGTACATGTTCTGCATTTGTATTGCTCTTTTTGATAACATTCTGAGCATAAATACCATGTTCCTTGTTCCAGTGTCTTTGATGAATCTGCACTGTTCTTTTCCTAAACACTTCCTATTACAGTACAAGTAAAATAAAAAAAAAAACTTTCAAAATTGTTTAGTATTCAAATCTTATCTGACATTTTCTAATTCTCTCTTCTCAAAGATCACTGGCCTTATGATAAGCAGAATTTTTTGGTGTGTATTGGAGACATTAGAGGATAGACTATATTTTATGGCTGGACCACATACATATTGGGATGTGAGAAAGTTAAGTAGCAGTAGTCAGGAATTTCAAGTCAAAGATTTCTATATTGGACATTTGTTTTTGCTTTGAATTTTTTCTTTGTTCCTTTCTTTTTCTCCGATTCTCAATTTTGTCTCTCTCTAAAAGTGCCTCTTTTCTACTACTATAAAATAAAATTTTCTTCCTTCTTATAGCATGAAATCAGTCAGCTAGTGACTACAACATAATCTAATATAAGATGACGACTATACTTACAGTGTCTATGTGAGTATGCAAAACCAATTCTTCTCAATGCAATCATAAAAAAATTAATCCAATTGTTACTTTGAAAAGCAAAACATTCAGTTATTTCCTGTTCTGAAAATGTATTATGAACAATAAATAACTATTTACTCTGAATTGCTTATAATATAAAGAAAGGAGAAAGTGTATCAGTTAATTTTTACTTTTGGAAGACTTGTAGAATTTCAAAATTAATATTTTTTATTTACACACTACAATAATATAAACATATTATTGCAAAACTATCAATTTGACTGAACAATTATTTCATTAATTGCAACAAAAATTTCTATCATTTTCAAGTTAAGCCATAGAACAGCAATGATAAAAATTCCTGTCCTCCACAGTTAATGGGTTAATAAAATGAAAAGATGAAAAAAAATTTCACAAAAATTTCCAAAAAGCTAAAAATATGATTTTCTTTATATGGTCTTGCTTATGTTTCCTAGTTATTTAATGAATTACCTTGTTTTGTTCAATAAACAACACTTATATTTTCCTATATATTGACTTTTGTTTCCTGTTGCACTAGATGGCACAAGTCTTTATACTTTCTCTTTCTTTATTTCATATTATCTCAGTAATCATAGATTTGAACTTGTGAATATTGATATGTGACATGCATACATCTTGATTGTCAGTCTACTTGCCTTAGATTAAAATATTTTATTTTGGAGGTTATGCTAGCTAGCAAAACAATGCACATGAATAATCATTAATGCATATGACAAATGCTTACATTTAATGAAATCAAAGTAGCAAATATTTAAGCATACTCTTACCATTCCTTCAATTTCATCTTCAATTTTCTGGTTCTCACTTTTAATCTGTTTAGTTGTCTTTAAATGTTGCTTCAGAATGTTCTTTTCTTCTTTATTCTGAGCAAATAAAATTTTATAAGACATACAAATAATAAACTTATTTTCACTTACAAGTACTTTAATTCTTTACACTTTCAGTTATGAGTTTTCAAAGGTATAAAACATTACAACATACAACAAAAGAAATGATATCTTTTATATAGAAAGAAATAGTGAAAATAATATTATAATAAAATTATTAAGCAGTAGAAGTTAGGAATTGTATTTACTTAGGTACTGTCATGAAAATGCTAAAAAATCACCATACCAGGATGAAAACATGCTCCAAATGTAATGAAAACAGTTTTATTGTCAAAATTTTTATGCTATTATTAAGAGGAAGGATCAAAATATTTTTGATTATTTAATTAAAATTTTACTTCTTTTTAGAACATTTGAAATTTTGATTAAAAACTTGTTTTTTCTTGCATCAGTGGTTATACTAACTTTTAGCATAGAAAATTTGGGCCACTTTTTTGCAATGACAGACATTAATTTAGAAATTCTTGCAAAAATCAAATAATTGTTGGATTTTAATGAAATTTTCAGAACTTATTCACAAATGAATGAAGTTATTTTAGATAATTTTTTTATTAGAAAATCTTGGTAAAAATATTTTTTTTTTTACATGCTTTTCAGCCCCTTACTTAATTTTATGAAAATTTCAACAAGATAAATTTTATTGATTAAAAGCAGAATTCTTTGAAGAATTTAAATCACCTTTTTTTTTTTGCAAAATCAGACCTGATCTTACCAAAAATCTGTTCTGAATTGAAAAAAAATAAAAATGCAAATAAAAAATGCAATAAAACTAAGACATTATTTAATTAGAGAAGTTTTTAATTGCTTTAATGAATAATAAATATATATTAGACAAAATTTTTCAATGAAAAATGAATTTTTACAAGATTTGTTTTCGTTTTTTTACAATTTTAAATTGAATAATTTATAAAATTTTAAATCTTTTAAAATTCATTTTCAATATGGTAATTCTTAGGAAATATTGTTATTAAGTAAAACTATATTTACTAATTGTATAGCTTATTGCAATCTGACAACACTGAATATTTTTAAAAGAATTTCAATTTGCTTTTGTATGTGTGATTATGTGCAGAATTTCTGATGTATGTATGTACAAACTGATAAATCTAGCATTAAGAGGTCATGTGTTTTAAGGGTTGTCCCCCCTTACAGCAAAAAAGAAAACTTTATCATCTGTTTCACCATACTTAACTATAAACACATTCAGCTGTAGATCAACTATCAATAAATCAATTAACATGGCAGAAAAACAACACCTGGTAGTTAAGACATGTTTGTATACAACATTTTAGGCTACAAGTAAGTAATATTTGTTTCAAATCAGATTAATTTAACTTTAAATTTGCTAATTTTCCTCAAATAATGTTTCAGAAATATATATTTTATTTTTGCAAGATTTTTAAAACCAAGAATTAACTTTTGTTTACAAATCTGTCAAAAATGGCCGTTTTGATCAATTTTACTGAAAAAAAGGGAAATTGATTCCGATCAATAGAATTTCTGTTTGAAATACACCACAGAGTATTTTGCTTACTGGAAATAGTAAATTTTAAGTCCTATAGCTTTCAATTAAAGCTAAAATGAAAGCTTCAAGAAAGCTTTTTCATTAATTAAAAAATTCATTTTAAACTTTATGTATACTGAATTAGTGGAGTTACCTATATTTTCTGCTTAACTTAATCCAAAAAAATTATAATTTTTATCCAACAACAAATGTAACTTACAACTCTTGTTGCAATAATTTTAAGTAAGGATTTAAGCAAATAATCTATGAGTAAGCATATTCTTATAAGCAATTTGTTTTCAAAATGGTTTTCTTACTTGTATTTGTAAAGTGTTTGATTTGGTTAAGGAATTCTCCAATTTCACTTTCAATACCAACTCTTCTTTTTCATTGTCTTGTATATGCTGTTTTCCATCCACAATACCTTGACTCATCATATAGTAGTTCTTTTCAGCTTCTTCTGCTGCATTGCTAAAACAAAATCAAATTAAAAAAATCTTTTGTAAATATCAAATTTTTGATACAAAGGATTATTTATTTTAATAAGTGATATTCCACCTGTCTTTTCTTGTATCACAGCTAAAGTACATTCTTTGTAGACTAGATTATCTCTTATTAAAAAAAAAATCAGCATATTTATGTTTGCTTGCTAAAACTATGATGTTTGAGATAATTACAGCTTTTGTTTAGATAAGTTATATAATAAATAAAGAATTGAACCAATAGAAAATAGTAATTTACTGAAGAATGTTCTCTTAAAGTGTAGAATTTCAAAAGTATAACACTGGTGATTTGCAATCATATTTTGTATAGTCTTTATTTAAATGTTATGAAATATAATTTTCTTCGTCTCAGTCCATAGGTAGTCATTTATCTAGCATATTGTACTCTTCCTTTCCTCTTACTGCTTGGTTGTCTTACTATTTAGTCTCTATGCCTTAGCTATGCTAATTAGGCAGTCATTTACATATCACTACATTAATATTTTGAGTTTATTATTTATCACACTGAAAATAATTCTTCTTAAATGCTTAGCAATGAAATTTTCAAATTTAATATGAATTTTTTATCAAATGAAAAACAGGATCATTGAACTGCAACCTCTAATCATTGAATTGAACCACAATTGGTGCTGTTTTGTATAAGAGCCAATATTCAAATCTTATTAAGAAAGGTTAATTATTTTGCTTATTTCATAAAACCAAAATGTGGTATAATTCCATTTAACATACTATTATAGAGTTCTATATTACTACAATTAGAAATAAAGTTCTGTTTTTATTAAATGTTCACTCTATACAAGGCCCAAGAGACACTCAAGCTAAAGAGTTACTGAATGAGACTGTTGTATGGACGTAAAAGGAAGAGGATATGTAGGATAGATAACAGTTAACCCTAGACTTGAAGAAGTTAGTAGTGTAATGATCAGGGAAGCATCTTAAGTCTCCCTTCCACAAAGTAGCAATTCTCAGGAAGAAGCTGTTTGAGTGGAACTTCCTTCTTAAGAATTGGAATATGAAGGAAATGTGGATGATTTGACTATATACTTAGCATAGTGTGTCTTAGCTATGGAGGTATAAACTGGTTGAAGTCATTTGTCTTAGTCTACAATTTGAATTCTTATAAATGATGTTAATATGAGGATGGGTTGAAAAGTTCATAGGCTAACTACAAAGGAGTAATGAGCTTTGAAATTTTGCATACATTAATTTCAACTCTTCTTATTAATAATTACTTTGTTTCTTTCCAGGTAAACTGACATCTGACTGTTCATCGTGTTGGTCAAAAAAGTCATCAACAGCAAATATAACATTGTTATCACTGAGATACTGGTCCCCAGCCAAGTGTTTTTCATGTTGGGGAACAGATAATAGTCAATCAGGAGAATAGCGAGAGTGATCAACCAGTTCAAAGCTACAATCATGCACAGCAGCCATTGAATCCAAGGATGTATATGCTGGAGCATTGTCCTGATGAAACAAAACCACTTTCATTAGTTTTTCTGGGTGTTTGGTCTTGATCGCCTTTTTTAACTGTCTCAGCAAGTTGGAATACTACTATCTATTGATGATGTGGTCCTTTTGAAGGTAGTCAATAAACACAATGTCTTTTGTATTCCAACAAACTCAGGCCATCATCTTCATTGCAGATGAAATGACTCTGGCCTTCTTTGGATCAGGTGATGTTTCTACTACATGGATTGTCTCTTTTTCTCTGACTCAAAGTGATGAACACAAAAGTCATCTTAGTTTAAGTAACTCTTAAGGAAACCAGCTGGATCTGCCTCAAACAATGACAGATATTCCTGTGATATGATGTGATCAACCTGTGTGCTTTTGATCAGGTGTCAGAAGACATGGAACCCACCGAGTAGAAATCTTTGTCATGACAAATTCATTGTGCAGAATATTCTCAACTCTCTCATGCAATATGCTAATAGCATAGGCTATTTGATTTATAGTCAATTGTCTGTCATCCATCAATATATAGTAAACATGATCAATTTATTTCTTGGGGGTGACAGTCGCAGGATGTCCAGACTTTAGGTCATCTTCAAGACTTTTCTTTCCCCTCCTAAATTCAGCTGCCTACTTTTGTGCTGTTGATAAAGCTGAGGTGTCATGATCTAATGTAGCAACAATGTCGACATAAATGTCCTTGTAGGTTAATTCCTATTTCTACAGTTACTTGTTCACACCACAATGCAAATTTTGTCTGTTTTCAAAAGAAGTCAATACTAGTTACTTTTGAAGTTTTCTTTGAACCTAGAAAGAAGCAATGCAGTTAATAAGAGTTGAAATTAATGCACACAAGATTTCACAGCTTTAACATGACTCCTTCCAAGTCAGCCTATTCTTTTTACTGTTTACAGAAATTTGATCAGTGCTCAAATATTATTATATTGCATAAAACCTACAGTTAGTCCTCTTAGATATGAATTTAAATATATTATAATTATTTTATTCTAATCTCTCTCTCTCTATATATATATATATATAAAAATTAATATGGGAAATTTTTTTTTCACTTAACTCATGTTTACTTCAGAATTTTGTGGCTATATAGGTATAACCACTCACTGGAACAGAGTTAATCTGCTGTTGTTTCTAGAAATCAAGAAATGACAGCATATTAACTCTGTTCTGACAAGTGGTTATACCTATATAGCCATGAAACTCCAAAGTAAACGTGTTAAGTGAAAAAAACTTTTTTCATACTAATTCTATTAATGCTCTATCTCTATCTTCGAACCACAAAGCCTGCTTGCCTTAAATGCCTAATTCAAATTAACATTATATATATATATATATATATATATATATATGTTACATAAATCATTCATACAAAAAGTAGATTAGTAATGTTAATGATATAAAATGGCGAAAACTCTTCACAAACAAAATTTTAAAGTTGCATTAACCTACAAACCACTAGACGAATGTTATGATCCTTATTTTTAATAACTACGAGTTGTATAAGGTCGCAATGCTAAGCTTGAACTTGTAGAAATTTGAAAACTTTAATAATCTTTTTATGTAATCTAGAGGTTAGGACACCATTACTATTAGGAACAATGATTAGACCATCATCTCTATAAAGGCCTACTTGGTTGTGGTTAATGATCCTACTTAGGTTGTCCATATATATATATATATATATATATATATATATATATATATACCCACCAAGTCTGTTATTTGGGCAGAGTTGAATGCCCCATAGGAACATCGAAGTTTTCATTGCTCCTTTTAACCCAAGTAGAGTCATTATACATTAATATAAATCTTCTAGATGCTGTAATAATTTCCTGTTCATCTTCAGTAATATCAACATAATTCTTAGCAAAATTTAGGCTATTTATTAAAAAGTCTTCGAAAATAGATGGGTAGAAGTCAATAATGTCAAATTGAATGAATGTAGCATTCTTTTGATTGGGGATATTCTTGAACTATTTGATTGTGTCTGAAGAATCTTTCTAAAGACTGACAGAATAGTGTTATTTTTTAAGTATGTTTTTTTTTTAATTAATCCTAATTTGGATTTGGAATTAAGCAGGATTGTATATAATTCACAAAATTGGGCTTATGATCTTTAAATAATAAGTAAACATATTTCATATGAGTGGCACTCATTCTATCAACAACTTTACATTTATTAGCCAAATATATATGAAGAAATATTATCCTCTATGCGCTATAAGTTATTATTATAATACAATTATAATTAAATCATTAATTTTATTTTATAAATTAGATCAGTTAATTAAGGTAGTTGAAAGATTTAATTTTAAAAGTAATGTTATGAAATTGCTATGTTGTATAAAATATATTTTTTATTTTTATTAGATTTTTAAATTTGGAGAAAACAAAAATGTAAAACCCAGATTAAACAAAAAAAATAAATAAAACTAAAGACATGAGTTTAATGGCAGTGTTATACATGTTACAGTGACTGTACTTCATTTTTATAAGAATAATCAAAATATTTTACAATACTCATAAACTTACAGCAACATTAGACTTGATAGAATTAATACATTATTTTTCTTTTATAAATTTTTTAAACTTAATTTTTGATGTTTATATTTCAACTATATGCCTACTAATGATGCTGTTGAAAATATTAAAATAATAAGATCTTTCTAACATAATATGATTTGTAGATGAAATTTCTGTCTCTGGTATATAATATGACAAACTAGAGCATTAAATTCAAATGATACTTACGATACTTTATTGAGTTCATGACAAACAGAATTAATCTGTTGGTCAAGAAGATACTGTTCCTGTTTGATTATTTCCAGGGCTTCTTTATGCTTGGACATTGTTTCTGCCTGATTCTTCAAAGTCTCACTCATCTTCTGCTCTGCCTACAAATTTTTAGAATCAAGACAATATCACATTTGATAAGATCACAGTCTTTGAAACAAACATCTCTTATATTTGCAAATCAAAAACATTATAGATAAATTCTTATAAATAGAAAAAAATCACATTCAAACATAGTACTAATTTCTCACAAACATTCATGAGAACACATTTTTAATTCTTATATAGATGAGTACTTTTTTTTTAATTCCCAAAAGACTTAATCTTTCAAGAGCAATTTGATAGGAGATTGGTCTAATTGATGAGACAGTAATTGTAGCACAGCTGTGTTGATTATATCTCTTCTGTGAAGCAATTTTGAAACCGGGGGAAAGGAATAGGCAGGCCAAAAAGTGTAATGAAGAGCAGCAAATGAGATAATAGCACTTGCTAGTCATCATTTGCAAAATTTCTAAATCTAGCAATTGAGTAAAGATGACCATTTAAGTTTGAGTAACTTTATTTCATGAATATGTATTGGTATAGATTACAATTATAGCTGATCAGCCAGATTAGCACAATCACTAAGTTGACTATAGTTATGTGTGTTTCATTAACATTTCATACATAATTTGTGCAATTTATGATGTAACTATTTATCAGTGTTGTTTATATCTATTGAGATAATTAGTATTTATATCTCAGTAATGCAATAGTTAGTTTCTGGGGGTTGCTTAATTACAGTAAAATTGTTTACATTTATATGTTTGATAAAATGACTGATATGAAATTTATGAACAAAGTATGTAATATGGAGTTCTGAAAACCAGTTGGAAAACCTATTATTTAGAAATGTTGTGGTTAATTTGAAAAAAAATTAACAGTTAATGAAATTTCAAAATAAAATCTATGAACAAACCAATGAGATTTGTACATATGAAATATGTTAAAATAGAATGCAAATATGGTGATTCAATATGGAAAATGTACTTAAATATATGTAAGAGTCTATAACTCAAAGTTTTAACTGCTTGCAATTGCTACATTTGTACAAATTATTTATAAATCTTTGTTTTGTTTTGGAGTCTTACTTGATTTTAAAAGCTTCAAATGATCAAAATACATAAGTCATTTGTATTTTTCATGTAATGGAGTGGATGAAATAAAGCAATGTGTATTGACCTCATAAAATATAAATTCATTCTATGACAAGTTCTGTTACTTTCTGCCAAAGTTGAAATTGTCTAATATGCACCTACACAAAGTGAAGAACCAACAGCAGAGAAAATAAAAGAATTAAAAAGAAAATATGCCAACCAAAAAATAGAATCAAGAAAAACTTGACAGCCATAAAATACATAAATGCAACATATTAGTTTGAGATATCCTGCTTTATAAAATTGAGCTTTAGTTAAATTTATTCAACAGATCAGCCATTTACTCACAATATAATAGACTAGTAGTATTTTTTTCAAATAAAAATGTTATATTGGTTTGATTAAATTTATTTCTATATTTTGAACAGAAAAGTCAGTCAATTTGGTGGATGCATAAAATGTTATATAAGAAATATTTGTTACATAGAAATTTTGTGAAGCAGTAAATAAATAAGTAAATAATATTATAAGAAAAATGAAATATATCTTAAAATGTTAGATAATCTCACATATAATGCCCAAATTTGGAGTAAAAATTTCATGTTTATTTAGAATTTATTCATTATCAATAATCTTCTTCCAACAATTCATAAGCTTCATAATACCATTTTTGGAAGTCTTTTAATTTGGAATGCAGTTTCTACCTCAACAAGTTTTAACAATTAGTCCATCAAGATAGTTCTGTAAACTCTAGATGAGGTAGTAGTAATCAAATAATGTAAAATCTGAAGAAAAAGGTGTATGTTGAATTTTTTTTTCCAGACATGGTCTTGACTCTTTTCAGATTTGATCTTTGTTGCATAGAGAAGTATATTATCATGAAGGAATCCTACAATGTTGCAATTGATGAAACTAGCTCTTTTTTCAATGCAATATTCAAATGCTCTAACTGATGTAGATGTTTGTTGTAATCACTGGCATTGCTACAAATATTTTGATATATTCTCTCATGCCCATACTTATCAAATTTTCCTTAGATTGAGGTTCATTTTGGGCTGTGCTTTAGCTTGTTCATTTCCAGCAAACCATTGTCACCATCTATTTATATTCTTGTAAAATATTTATTTTTTCACCACTCACTAATTAATATTTCTTGATACTGAATTCTACCCAAATAAATGACTTTACAAGACAGTGAATAAACATTCTGTATTCAAATATACATTGTCCACATACTGCTTTCCAGTTAAATGAATATGCCTGAATATTTGAGATTTGCTGGTAGTCATTCCATACCATAAGAGAACAGGAAACTGTTTGGAAGATATTTTCTGAAGGCACAATACTTGGAATAAAGAGATTCTTTCCAGCATGAAATTTCATTGTCATTCTTGCATCAATCATATTTGGCAGAACTTTCTCTATGATGCAGTGACTGCCAATGCCATACCCATTCTTAGAAATCAAAGTTGCTCAAGAGAAGGATTGGAATACTTATCATCAGTCAGTCCATGAGAAAGCATGCTAGAGAGTTTGAAAATTATTTCAGAAACTCTATTGATTCTTTTTATTTTATTTAAATATTGAGAAGTTAATACTTATAGTCCCTTGGTGTGCATCACACTACAAATATAATCACATTTTTTTAAGTTTTGATTTCTGTTGACTGCAAAAAAACTCACATTTTCAGCTATATATCTACTTTAATGATTTGGTGTAGTTAACCTAATGAACACAAAGTAAGAGTTTTAGCTTAGTATTATTCTTACATTGTAAATTAAACCCTCCCAAAAACGTTTTGGAATTTTCAAAAACCAAGACACTAAAATCATGCTTCAGAATCCCACTAGTACCCACAGAAAATTTGGTAGGCATAACTATAGCCATCCTCAAGTTATACAATGACAGATGGATACAAAAGACATTTAGTGAATTATAGTAATGTTAGTAAGTTAGGCCTGAAGTAGTAGCTTATAAATGAAGCATTTTAAGCTATACAGAAACAAAATTATATTACCTCATTGAGATCATTTTGAAGCTTATCAATGTGTTGCTTTTCTAGAAGTATCTTTTCTTGTACCAGTGGACTAAATAAATAAAAAACAAGAAATTAATTAATAATTCATCTTTCTTAGAATGGATATTTTGGGCATGGATAACACTGCTGACTGAAATTATTGACACAGTGTTTGTTCCTTTACTTTATAGAGAACTAGCAGGCTTTGCTTGCTATCGCTTCACAAATTAAGATATATTCACTATTTTAAATCTTTGAAACAAAAATTTTAAATGAACATTTCATTCATAAATTGGCTTGTTATAGTTAAGGAAGGTTTTACAAATAGATGCCAACTTGTTGGAGCCCAAGTAAAATGCAAATTTCAAACACTTTTCTGCGCTATATAAGATGATATTCCTAAACAGAACTATTTTTTATATGAAAATCAAAATAATCCTTGAATAAAAGAACAGTAATGAAGGATAGTTAATTAATGAAATAAACTTTTTAAAATCAATATGCAAATTAGTTAAACCTGAAGAGAAGTAGATAATATATAATACAGATATTGAGCTTTTAGCACGTAAAAGCATTATTTATCATCTCTCAGTTGCGTCTCTGTCCTTGGACAGAGTGCGCTCAGGTGCTTCTCTGTCAGGGGCAACTGAGGAAAATTATACTGAAGACGTGACCATCCCTGGGGAACAGCTGCCCGAGGCTGCGCCGTCCCATTGCACAAGAGGGAGGGATCGGTGCTTGCACCAAGGCCAGCGCAACCAACACAACTGAGAAAAATTATACTGAGAGGTGCCTGACCCTGGGGAACAACTGCCCGAGGCCATACCTTCTCATTGCACTAGAGAGAAGGCCAGTGCAACCGACAATTGCGGGGGCTCAGGGAATTTTTGTTCCTTGCCCGGGCTCCCCACATTAAACAGACTTTGTGTCACAATCTGACCTCATGGGAGATCAAGTAAATACCGCGTAAATCCCTCCTTGGAGGGGTGTATGCACTCGGATACTTACCTGGCATAAGGCTCATGCCTGGGCTGGTGGTATCACAGCTATAACTAGCTTGGACCGGCGGCTCAAGTGAAAACACTCAGATCCCCACGTTAAAAACCGACCTTGTGTCACAACTTGACTCAGAGGGGGGTTCAAATAAATACACTTACCTGCCCCAGGGCTCTGTCCCTGTGCTGGTGGTATCATGGCTATGACTGGCTTGGACCAGCTATGACTAGCTTAGACCATCTCTGACCAGTTTGGACAAGCTATGATCAGCTTAGACCAGTGGCCTGAGTGAAAACATTCGGGTCCCCACGTTAAAAACTGACCTTGTGTCACAACCTGACTCAGTGGGAGTCAAGTAAATACCGTGTAAATTACTCTTTTTGAGTAGGTACACATCTACTTATCATCTCTCAGTTGCATCTCTGTCCTTGGACAGCGTGTGGTCAGGGGCTTCTCTGTCAAAGGACAGAGGGGCAACTGAGAAAATAATATTGAAGAGGTGCCCAGCCCTGGGGAACAGCTGCCCGAGGCCACACCCTCCCATTGCACTAGAGGTTGTGGAGACTGAGGGGAATTTTTGTTCCTGCCCTGGGTGCTCAGGTCCCTCCTAAAAATAGACCTTGTGTCATATCTTGTCCTAGTGGGGGGGGGTACAGAGTAAATACCATGTGTAAAGTACTATAAAGTAAAGCTGGAGCTTTTTAATCTCATAATTTGTAGGAGAATTATAATAATATAGGTTTTACTTAATTAGCTATTATGTTTCTCTAACTCTTCAAATGTTTAATGTATAACTAATTCTAGTTTCTATTTTCCCATTTTTACACTATTTTACACTATATTAATTTTATCTTATAAACTGTCCCCTGTTCTGTCACCCATGAAATAAAAATAATTGTTTGTATGGAAAATAAGGATCTATATACATCAAATTGTCTTTAAATTAAGTGGCAGCAGAAGAATTATAATTGAACTTTTAAAAGATAAGCTTAAACATTAGTTCAATACTTAAATTTGAGTTCTTCTGTAGTTTATTGATGCTTATCACATCTACTCCTCCCCAGCTATTGTGATGATGGCCAAACCAAGAGTCCTCCAGAAGAGCTAGCTTAAATGCTGCTTGATAGGGTGGCTTTTAAGCTAGCTTAAAATTTTAAGCTAGCTAAAATTTTGGATACAAAAGGAAATAAGAGTTAGTCCCCTTGAACCATGAAAGCAAAGATAATGGCCAGTATAATATGTTAATATATATTTTTAACCTCACATAATCTGGCAACGCTGGATCTGAGCTAAAAAAAAATTGTTCCCTGCTCCTAACTTTTCTAGGGCTTTTGAATGAGCTATGAATAATTGAAATCGGACCAGTGTGAGCAGAGGAGATGTATACACAATAACTTTCTATAATGGATATTTAACAACTCAAATTAAAAATGTTATGTCAAAAATGAATGGTACAAGAATAAACATGAAAATTATAAAACTTACATATATAAATGATGAATATTAAATGATAAAATTAAAGAAAAAATAAATTATATGATGTATCAAAGTGAGTCATCAGTGATGTGCCAGGTTTTATTGGGAGTTTTGGGTTTTATACACCATAACCAGTAACCCAATCTGATTCTGAGGATATCATGCTCATGCTATGACTGCAATACTATGAACAGACATGCTCAATGTGGCAGTTAATTTTCAAAAGACACTGGGTTTGTGATTTCAATTGTTCTATAATTAACCATGTTATAATGTATAGAATTTTGGTGGCAGTAGGAGTTTCTTTACAGTGAAAATGCTGTACAACTAACCAATGAACAATTCCTAATGAAATTGGCTAAGCCTTGATTTGAATTAGAATTGCTTCAGCTAATTTGAATCAGCCATTAACAGCCAAATACTAGGCAGTAGAACTTGCTATAAATTCTGTTTCCTTGGCAAGTATAGGTAGATCACTTTTAGCCTGCAGAAGTCAGAGTTTAACGTATGAAGATCATCTTTGTTTTTACCAACTAGCTGCCTTGTTGGTGGTTGGACTATCTTTGTTTAGCTTGAAGGACTAGTTATTTAAGTACCAAAAAACCTTAGGCAGTGCTAATTTAATCAAATTGACATGACCAAACAACTTTATTTTTAACTTGGTACATTAAAATAAAGACTTATTTTATTGTTTAAAACATGGCTGACATGAATTTCAGAAAGACCATTAAGGCCTAATTTAGAACCCCTAAGAAAGAGAAATAAAGAAGAAAAGATTAATTCTTAACTGTAAGAAGACAATGCATAGTCATCAGCAAAAAAGACAATCCTTTTCGGTCTTTATGTTTGTTTATTTATGAAAAATCAAGTAAGTACAAAAATTAAATTATCTGAGTAGTGTGGTAACAGATAACAGAAAATGTATAGGAATGGTGAAAGATGTCTTTTAGGAACTAAGCAAAGTATTAAATGATTGGAAAATATTATTAGAAATAAAGAAAAAATTGATGGCAATGAATGCTGGATAATCTCTTCACAGATGAAGAATTGAAGCAACGTAGATGTGGTTCCATAGAGATAATATTAAGAATACTATGGACAGAACATATGCACAATAAAAAAGTGTTAAAGATATAAAGAAACTTGAACAATGAAAAAGAGACAGTTGAGATTTCTAGGACATATCAGGAGGAAAGAGGGCCTAGAGAATTTAAAACTCACAGGACTTACTGAAGGCAAAAGAAACTATTTAACAAGTTTGTGTGAATGGATGGTAGAACAAGGCCAAAAAAAGATGGTAAAAGGTCAAAAGTTACTTAGAGTAACAAAAAACAGGAAACTGTGGAGATTTATGATGGCCCATGACACATAAAAGAAGATGAAAGAAGATTCTGAACAAGACAAAAAAAGAATAAAGTCAACCAGTAAGGAAAACGGTAACAAGAATGAACAAGACAAACCAAAATACAAAGGAATACCAATGGAAACAACAAGTAGTACTTATTCTTAAAATACCTGAAATATCCTGCACCCTTATTCGGTCAATGTCATAGTGATCATGCAGAAAACTTTACAGTATACTCATCTTGTCATTGGATTTTCCCAAATTGAGAGTGACTGAAAGCAAATTATACCTATCTTTATGGCTGATCAAAAAAATAAAAAAATTGCTATGACAAAGTGATTACATCAGTGTTAAGTTGGGAGGTCATTCTGTTGCCCCCAGATTGCATAGCCCTAGCAAAGATAGATAATGTTACGAATGATAATATTTTTCACACTGAGTATTAGGGTCAGCAGCAGACCAGTGCAATGGTTTATAAGGTCCCTAGCTATGTTTTGGGAACTCATTTGGCTGTGTTATTCCAAGAGTATGAGGAGATTATAGCTGTGAGTTCCAACTGTATGCATGGAAAAATGGAGTTTCAACATTATGATCAACTACAAAGCCTTCACTGATATTTCCAAATGCTTAGATGTTGAGGTTTGTCAGCTACTGGCTAGGATATTTGGAAGTAGACTGATATGCTGGCTTTGTAGGGAGACTGGTCACCTCCCTACATCTTGCTCAAGGAAGAATGATTCCCTCAAGAAACTGTTTGTTAAGTGTCAAAATGCCCTTCCACCTACTTCAACCATAGAAAAGTACATTATTGCAGTCTTGCCCGCCACCACTGGCCAGAAGATTTGGCCAAACATTGGGGCACAGTTAATAGCATATTAGAAAAATAAAACTGATAATATTATGTTATTGAAACATTACTGAATTCTCTGGAAAAAAGTTGAAGTCTGTACTTGAGATTAGATGAGGAACTTTGTCCTGTGAGTCAGTTTGTTAAATAAAATCAGAAAACAATTTGCAATTTGAGTGATAAAAGATTTTAATTTTTGATGATTTTAAACTAATTTTCTATCATTTGCCACTCTTTCTCAAACTCTTCCGGAAGACTTACAACCTTTTTTTTGGAAATGGAGAAGTCCAGGGAGAGGGGAGGTGAAGGTGTGTAATTTATTGGGTATCTGGAATTTTGCTATAACCAATATTGGAATCAATTTTAGTAAAACCTTTAATTTGAACATATAGCTGACAGAAAAATGAAACTTACATTTGTTCATTTCTGATAGCAATATCTTTTTTTAAGTGGAAGTTGAGATTTTGTGCTGATTTGAGTTTATTATGGCAAGTTGTATGGATACGATTCAAATATGTAAGATGAACCAAACAAGGACGGTTTTTCTGTTTGAATATGTCATGCTCTGCAATAAGAAAGAAATTATTAACAACTTTTCATTTTGGCACTGAATTAATAAAACCATGAAAGTCATTAAAAGAAGAGATATTGAGAAAAATATGGAGAAATTTATTAAAACTTTTGATAATACAAATGCATTTAAAGATCAAAATAAAAAAAACCTATAAAATATACTAAGGTACTAAGTTTTATAACAAGAGGGGAAAATATACTAAGTTTCATAATAAGAGGGGAAATATAAAATGTATCAAATCAAAATTATTTTAAATAAAATTTAAGTTTGCTATTAATCCTGAAGGATGAAATTACATAAAAACTGTGTTGCTAGGTCTCTATGCAAAAGTGTCAAAATTTTCAAAATTCTTTCTTATATTCTGATTTTACATCTAATGTGATGTCAGGAAAACATTTATTCACAATATTATTTGCTTTGAAATTCACAAAGAAAGAAGATATAAACTTCAAATATCTCAATTCCAAATTTTGTTCAAACAATTGGACTCCTTTCTGTTTTTGATATTGTTGCCGCATTTCAACCAATCAATGTGGTAACAACATGAAGAATATGAAGGAGTTCAGTGGTCTGAGCAAAATCTGAAAATTTAATGACTCTTCTCAAAGTTATAGAAAAATATTTGGAACTGTTTTTACAGCTATTCTTTATAAATGAGTCAATTTTATTAAAATATTTTTCTTTTTAAGCATAAAATATTAATTCTTGATTGCAACAATTACCAATGTTAACAAGTGTAGTCTGCAGTACCAAAGTTTCTATCAAAGCAACAAGAATCAACTTAGAACTAATTCAACTCTACTCCAAGTTCAGAGACATTAAGTTATGCATCCAGCCAAGGGTGGTGCATCAATTTTGTCAATCTCTTTGCTAGAATTCTCAATTATTCTTTTTCATAACCTTACTCCCAAGTTTATTATTATATTTTCTGTATGGCAGCTCTTTAATGGTATATCCACTTATCTGGCAATTTTTCTTGATTTACAATGGTCAGAATTTTTTGCACAGCATTGATGTCATATATACTTTTTATAGTGAACATTTTTGTTATGCAAAATATAAAATAAGTTCCCATAAAAAAAAGGATTTATATTTTCCAAATAGATAGTAATAAGGAATTAGCAAGACAAGTGAATTTTTGCAATATTCCACAATTATAAACAGGCATTTCAATTAAGTAGTTGCACTTAGATTATATGTAAAACATGTTTTTTTACATCAATAATCTTACCTTTCTGCACTGCATTTGTTATATCAGTGAGTTTTCTTCGAGACATTTCATCAATTTTCAAAGAAAGCTGTGTTGCAAGGGCTTTTTCCGATTGCAGTTTGGCTTCTGTCCGCTGACAATCATCATGCAACCATGCTAAGAGCAACATCACTTCCTTGACTACTGCTTTGAGCTGATCATGGCTGTTGTAGTCCTTCAGTGCTTCAACACTTGCTAAAGGTACTTTAAAAAAAATTCTTATATTAAATTTAAAAGCCTAAAAGTAAATGAGGGCTTATGATTTATTAAGATTTATTGATTAATTTTATTATAGTTATCCATATTTAATATTTTACAGGAAAGGAATAAAAAAAACATCAATAAAAGAGAGAAGGAAATTGTATATTTGAATGTGCTACCAGGAATTCAAATAACTTATAGGAACATTATTAATCATTTCTAGTGAATTTTGCCTTGCTTGATTCCTGTTTAAGATTATAGAATATGTAAAATCATTTTTTAAAAATCATCAAATTAAAAAAAAAATATATATAAAAGAAATAAAAAGGGTAAAAATATCCATTTTATTTACTAAATTTCCAAAATGAGTTACTGTCATCTCAAGAACAAGTATCATTATCTCCATTGTTTACATTAAGTTTTAATCAGTGAACTCTCTAGCCTGCTTTCTTCAAGTATATGTTGCATCCAGAAATCTCAAGTGAATTTGAAGCAGAACCCTTTTGTTTTCATGCCTTCTTTTTGTCACATTCAGTATCATTCTTAATGATTGAACTCACAGCTTCTTTTCTACCAATCTTTTATTAAATGGTTTCTCTTACAAGTTCACATTGATATTTCCAGGAGTTGATTGATTCTCTCATTGTTCCTAAGGGCTCATGTCCCAACAAATTATTGACATACAACTCAGACTGAACTTATCACTTCCATAATGTAAGTAAACAGACATCAAAAACTGTCTAGAATTACTAGACTTTTGTTTCAGAGGAAGATCCAGGAATGTATTTTCAGAGTTTTAAACCTACTATGCTTAAATAGATTAATCAGTAGAAAGTAATTGAAGAAACTTTTAGTTAAGTCAAGTCTTCCTTGCAGTTGCCCTTCATTAACATATATTCTGTTCTTTTTTCTCAGTAATAGAGCAGAAACAAGAGTCATGTACATCTTTATTTGAACAGCTCAATCTAAATCTTTCTGCTTTACTCCTTGAAATATAGAAAAATTAAACTGTTGATATGTCAAAAACTTTACACATAACTGAAGAATATCTCAGAAGTTTGCTATTTTAGAGAATTGTACACAAAATAACATTTATATACTGAAAGAAGTTAAATGTATATGAATAAAAATTAATATGTTATAATATTATTTCTCATGATATCTGAAAATATTTTTAACTATTATATGGAATCTTCCATAAAATATAAAATTATTTGAGAAAATCTTCAATAATTGAAGAAAATTCATTTTTTAACTCTCAGAAGCTCACCAATATCAGTGGTCACTGGAACAAGTGCATCCTTGTCTTTAGGATCAGCATCACAAATGGACAACCTTCTGTCAGCTGAAACAAAGAAAAATTAATATTTTAAAAATTTGTTCTTACAACAAAAGTATTAAACATTATTCTTATAAATAAATAGTGTTTAAAATTTTTGTTGTCAGTTCTTGAGATAAAAAATATAAATCAATATGCTGGAAAAATTATCTTAGTGAATTTATTTGGCAAGAGTAAATGAAAGAAATGCTTGGAAAATGCATTTTTTTTAAATTTATAATTACAGTTACTCATATATAAATGTTTGCTTAAATTTTTTTTGTTCTCTTGTTTACAGACATTTTTATAAATTTATGAATAAAAAAAATTATTTTCATAGTTATTTCTTTATAATATGGTAAAAAAAATATTCCATTGTAGTTGGTTTATAAATTTGTAAACATAAAATTATTCTTGTAAATAAACAATTTAATAAAATAATGTTTAATCCTTTTGTTATCAATTCTCAAGCAAAAAGTGAATGCATAAATTCTAAAAATAACTTTTAAAAATAAATATTGTATAGGGAGTATATGTTAAAAGTGGTATCAATAGAAAAGCAGTTTTTTGACATACAGTTTGATTTTCTTCCAGGTACAAATGTTAAACTTTGCCATCCATTCAATGCACAAAATTCAAAGAGAATACTGATGTCACATTTAAAAATAAGTGAGATTTTTCTTTCCCTTACATGCAAGAACACACACACACTTCTTCCTATTAAATAATTATTTTTATTTGGAAGAATATTGTATTGTAAATGCTGACCAGTTTTGTCTTCTGAAGCCTTCTCATCTATCTTCTGAACCCAATCAACCAAAATATCTTGAAGTAGGTGCAAATGTTCCACAGCCTTGTTGACACAATTGGTTCTTTCCCCACTTGCCTCACAGCTACGACGTCTAGACAACTGGGGTATCTGTGGCCAATTGTCAGGAGCTCCACTTTCCTCTGGAAGCTCAACTAGAATACATTATAAAAAGAAAAGATTCAAGAAAAAATACAAAAGCACTCACATATAGACAAAACATCTGCAAGGATATGACAATTCTATTGTGTTACTATGATTTCTTGAAAATGATGCATCTTTTCATCAAAGTTCAGACAATTACTGGTGGATGTAAATAATGTATCTTGTATCTTTTCTTTGTGATATAGGAATAATACCATATTTCAAGTACTATAATTATTAATACTAATCTAAAATGATGAAAAGAAAAATATCATTTTAAATTATCATTAATAGACAAACAAGCAAAAAATAAGGTTGATTTTCTTAATATGCTGGCTGTTAGAAGATTTGAACAAATATGAATCTGCATGCTGAATTCTGACATTTAAAAGACTATGATAGATTGATGACAGTTTTTCATAAATTCAATATGTATATATGTATAAAATGTTTTTAATGCTCACCTTCTTCACTGACAGGTTTAACCAAATCATCATTGTGATAAACATTCCATCCTCCTGAGTAGACTGGATGTTGGCTTGTGGATTTCCAAGTAAACAGATCCAAAGCAATCTCTGTATTGTAAAATATCAAAAGATTAATTCAGTCATAAAATGGTTATATTTATAGTTCTTTTTTAATGTCATCTTGACTATGTCATGTTGGCATCTGTGTGTATGTGACACAAATATTCACAGAAAGAGAAGAAGAAAGAAGGATACAGAGAAAGAGAGAAAAGAAAATTCAAATATACATCATTTATTGTTATGGGAATGACAAACACAGACCCCATCACTGAAAGGGTAAGTAGACAATATTAATTGCATTAAAAGAAGCAATTCAATAAACCTACAACAGAAAAGCACATCTAAAATTTTGTTATTTCACATTTATTAGACTGATAAACAATCTGTCCCTTTACATTCCTCATTTTAAAAATAGTTTAGAAAATTTTAATATGAATTTAAAAAAAAAAGTCAGTTAAAATTTCAGTGTTCAATCAATGGATATAAAGATCTTATAAATAAAAAAAATAAAAATACCCATTACAATTTTGATGTCATCTAGGAAAAATATTGAAATTTTATATCAGAAAAGATTACTATTGCTGTATTATTGCTGTTGTTGTCGTTTGTGGTGGTGGCAACAGTAATGAGTGATCTTCTAAGTAAAGAAATATACTCTCTAAGAAGATTTATTCTTCTCCATTGGCATATGTTAAAGAAAACAAATCATTAAAATAATTCTGAAAAATATAGTTCTTTTTATAACTATTAATTACAGGTATATAAACTAATGAATCCATAATTTAAATTTAAACATTTTTTTGTGGAAATAAAATGAATTAGGTCAGATAATTGTGAAGGCTAACCAACAACCCTTCATAACAGCACTCACAGTAATGCATCTTGCTGTTGATAATAGAATCAGTTTTCCCTGATGCTCTATAAATGTAGTCTTGTGCCAAACAAGTTAGAAGCCAATGTACAAAAGAGATGAGGTGAATGAACCAATTAACATAAATATTTATAGAAAACTATCTTACTATTACTATTCTTTGAAATAACAGACTTTTAAATAATATTGATTCTTGATAGCAAAGAAGGCAAGAGTTAGATTTAAGATGAGAGAATTAAGAGTTGTATGGTTTCAAATGCAACTCAGTTTGTTAATTTTATTCTATGTTACTGCTCTCAGAAGAGGCATGTATCTTATAACTACATTTTATATAAACACTATAACCCATTTACAAATACATATTGAGAAAGAAAACAAGATTTTAAGTCTGGTTAAACTTCAATGCAAAAACTATTGTATCAAGTACCTCCAAAAAGGAAAACTGAAGATAGGGGCTACTGACTCTGTACCATTGAAAAATGAAAACAGAACAAAACATGTAATACAAGAGAATTTATTACTTACCAGTGCTCTCTGATGTGGATGTGTCAGGCCACAGATAATTTTGTTCTTCAGGAGGGGCATCTATGTCCCCAACCTTCACAACTTTTAAGTCCCCTGAGAAGGCCATTATATCAGTGAACAATCTACAAAAGCACAGCAAGAAAAATAGAATGAAGAAGCTATCCTTGAACCAGCAATCTCTTGGTACACCACCATCATGTCTCATTCCTTTATCATTGGCTTTAACTGTTATCATAACAACTTTATGCTTGACTTTTTTCATGTTCCCATCAAGTAATCTCTTGTTTTTTCTCTTTCTATCAATCTCAGTCTATTTGTTTCTATTTACATATCTATTTATTCATCTCAATCTATTCCTATTTAAATATTTTTGCATCTGCTTTATCTCATTTAATCCATATCTATGCCTATCTCTCTGTTTTAATGTTTGCAGTATCAATCTCAGTTTACCATATCTATTTAAGTCTGTATTGATGTATCACATCTAATCTGCAACAACCACAATGCCAAGCTGTATTGAACTCTACTTTTCCCTTGGACAACATTGGTGACATGGAGAAAGGAGATGTGCTGCACAGGCAGCCACCAATCTCTCATAAAACCCTGCCCAGGCATGCATTCTGGAGAGGACATTCCAGCATTGCTTCACCATGACTGCAAAACATGAAAAGCAATAGTCTACTGAGGAGAGAATTCCAACGAGGGCATGAGGACGACCTCATATTTCCTTCAAAAATGTATGCAAAAGTGACATGAGGGAGATGGACATGGACGTTGAGAAGTGAGAAAACATTGCCAAGGATCACTCACACTGGAGATGTGACTTACACAGAGGGCTGGAGTAAGGAGAGAAGAAGCAAAGGCATGCCTCTGGGATGAGGTGTGTTTGAAGGAAAGAAAACAACATGGTAGCATCAGGGGAGATTGACTTTACATGCATTGGTTGCAATCAAGACTATCACTCCCATGTGGGCCTGTACAGCTATAGCAGATGCTATGCTGCCATCAGCAGCTGAGGCATAACTTTATGGCCACAGATCTATTGTCTATCAAGACTGACAGATGCAACATATATCACTGCTTCATGGCTGGCATAGTTTTCTGTTTGCCTCTGGCAAAACTTAGGAAAATTGTTTGGCTTCAGGTAAAAGCCAGTATCTTAAATGCTGATTATCAAAGTAGGCATGGCCTTTCCGTTTAGAAGATTTCACCATGAGCTTCCTATTTTATTTGCTGCTAGCACATTCATGTACTTATAAAATGCGCACTATATTGATGGTATAAGTATTTCAGTTTATATCTATTTTGTTGACTGCAAGAGTGGTGAATATACCCACAGTCTCAATAGTCAGTGTACTAGAAAATATAGGTCATTCTTTCTTTGAGATACTGACAACACACTTATAGATGTCAGTGCTTGAAAAATTAGCAATACCCACATAGCATAAATATCTATCTCAATTTATATTTTCAGTATATATATTATAGTCCAGTAATTGGTTTGGTTTCAGAAACCATTTATAAAACTTAGTCTTCATTGGATATTGATCATTTTACAGTTTTTTTCTTTTCTTTACTACAAGCTATTTAGGCACTTACTTTGTCTCTAGCAAGATGGCGGAAAGGCCATTCAACATAAAACTGATTCCTGTATTCAGTGGTGATACAACTGGACAGCCTGTGGTTGAGTGGATTGAGAATGTGGAATTGGTCTGTGAATTATGTGAGGTCATGAAGATCAAATGAATTCTTCCACTGTGCCTGAAAGGTGGTACCCTTGCTATGTATAGACAGCTGAGCAAAGAAATGTGACATTGAGCAAATAAAGCGTGCTCTACTAATGGCATTTCTGACCAGTTCCTGGCCTATGATCAATTCCAGACACTGCATTTGTGGCCTGATGAGACATTAGATGTACTTTTGATGGAATTAAAGAAGCTCACCATACCTATCGCACCACTCCCTGAAGAATGGATGACCTGTGCCTTCGTGTCTGGATTGCCTAGCCATGTTAAGCAGATACTCCGTGCATCATCCAGAATGGAAGACATGACACTGAACCAGTTGTTGACCAGAGCCTGCACTATCATGATCGATGTGAAAGAGGCTGATGAACCAGTGGCTGTAGTCGTTCAACCAGTTGAAGTCAAAGAGGATCTGACCCTAGCCAACTGTCGTCATGGTGATGTCACCTGCTATTGGTGCTTTGGGCTGAATAATTTTGCTAAAGAATTCCGCTATCAATGTAAAGAAATGCGCTGTGACATCAGCACTGGTCTCTTCCCTGCACTGAGCATGAAAGAGGCAATGCCTGTAATTAAGGTGCATATCAATGGAATAATGTGTACTGCTTTAGTAGATTCATGCTGCTCTGGTCACTCACAAATGGATCGATTTGTCAGTGTGGAGCAGACAAAAGATGGACATACTAACGGCCAATGGAAAGGCTCTTAGAAGCCGAGGAGTCAGAAACATCAAACTCAGTATCAACAATGGTTACCCCATCACAGTCAGTGTGTTGGTCATGGGCAGCACGTTATTAAGTTTTGACCTGCTCCTTGGGATGGACATTATTAAGGAGCTGGGCGGAGTACACATCACAGAGTTGGGTGAAGTCAAGTTTTCTAGTCTCTCCATCTGTGCTGCTTTAAGGATCATCGGGTCTGACTTTTAGTGCAGAGTTCGACCAAAGGACGAAGACATGGACAGCACTGTGGAAATGGTCAGCAAATAACCCACCAGAAAAGCTCCAGAACCAAATGTCAGAGTACTTGGTGCCTCATCCCACTGATGACCATCATGCAGAAGAACAAGTGTGTCCCATACTAGATTATAGGAACTGAATGAACATGTGGATGCATACACAGCTCGTGCTGATGTGTGTGCACAAAATTGAGAGAATTGGTGAAAGAAGGGGTCCAATGTCTCTGTGATTGACATTTGAAAGGCCTACTTGCAGGTACATGTGTACCGGCCACTGTGGTCATTTCAGACAGTGATCATTTACAGGAGGAGATACTGCCTAACATGAATGGAATTGGGGCTCAATGTGGCGCCAGCCATCATGAAAGCCATGATGGATGCTGTGCTATCAAGGATGAGACAATTCGTCAAGCAACATCATCTTACAATGATAACATCTACACCAATGAAATCTTAGTGCCTGCTGCACTGGTGAGACAGCAACTTGCTGACTTTGGTCTTGAGTGTAAGAACCCAGACTGGAGGATGGTGTTAGTGTGCTCAGCTTGCAGGTCTGAGGGGAGCATAAGATGCTTTACTGGAAATGTGGAAGTGAGCTCTCAACATTTTTAGACACATGACACAATGCAGTGTGTTCTTGTTATGTGGGAAACTGGTAGGACATTTTCCTGTGGGCAGTTGGATCCGCTTTGTGACTGCCTTTATCAAACATAGAGTGACAGCTGTCAATCCTGGTTGGGATGACAAAACAAATACTGCTCTCCTTAGAGACATGATAATAGAAGTCATTACCAAGGTGTGTCAGAACGACCCCATATGTGATAAATGGTGCATTGACAGATGTGAATTTGATGTCTGAGTCGATGCAAGCTCACTTGCAACAGGAGGGTCCCTTGAGATAGATGAAACCGTTGTGGAAGACACATGTTGGTTGCATCCTGAGAAGGATACACAGCATATCAACCTGTCAGAATTGGCTGTTATTAAAGGAGTAGCCATGGCCGTTCAATTGAGTGCAAAAGTGATGCATTTGTTCACAGATTCCACATGCATGCATAAGTGAATAGTAGACACTCTTATGGGGAAGGCTAGGATATGTACAAAGGCTGCGAGCGAAGTGCTCATTCGAAGACAACTAGACACACTAGGAAAGTTGGTAAGTGAGTACAACTTATCAGTTGATATACAGCTGGTTAGCTCAAATTGGAACAAGGCAGATCATTTAACAAGGGTGTCCCAGAGATGGCTTGCCACTATTAAGAAAGAGTTAGAGCCACTGGGACATGTCTGTGCAACATCAGCGAGCAGCCATGACTCAGATCTACTAAAATCTGTGCATTATCAAAGTGGACATCCCAGCATAAAATGGACCCTATATTTCATCAGGCAGATTGATCCCACTGTATCCAAAGCTGACATCATGGCAGTGGTCAGAGAATGTCAGTCCATCAATCCAGCACCTGTGGAATGGCCAAAAGGACAACTGAATGTGAGCAAAGTATGGCACCGTGTTAGAATGGACATCACCCACCATAATGGAACTCACTATCTAACCCTGATTGACTGTGGCCCAACCCTGTTCACTATTTGGTGATGCCTGCATCGACAGGATTCCACAAGTGTGATTGATGACTTGAGGATGTTGCTCTTTGAACGTGGACCTCTGACAGAACTCCTGACAATGACACTGCATTCCGCAGTGGACTATTTAAAGATTTTTTGGATTCATGGGGAGTCTACCTCAGATTTCACTGCACATATGTCCCATCTAGAATTGGTCTAATCAAGTGATGCTATCAGAACATCAAAAGAATCACTGCTAGGAAGCAGTGTTCCATAATGGAAGTGGTTTATTGGTACAACGTACCCCTAAAAGACAATGTGTCACTCTCAACTAAGCCAGCCAACATAATTTACGGTACAAAGTCCGGCTAAGAGGCATTGACATGATGCATTCAACTGAACAGATAAAAGAATGAGCGCCATACAACAAGAGCAATCGCGTGTGGGTAGAAGCTCCACATAGCCAGTGTACAACTCAGTACTGGGTGGGGCATATCACTGGAATCAGTAACTCATGCACTGTACTGGTTGATGGAATGCCAAGACACATAAAAGACTTGCGTCCATGTGTAGGATCAGATACTTCAGCAAGTGACACTAGCAGTGAATGCTCAGGAAGTTAAAGAATAATCACCATCAGAGGTAGGGCCAGCACCTCTTCAGATGGCAAAAAATCTGCTACTTTAAGTATCAGAATCTATGTTAATGTTCTTTCCACCTCTGAATGGCATAGCCAATCAAAAAAATTGCTTGGTGAATAAAAGCCATTGTTGTTTTTGCTTACAAGTGTAGGATTTTTTCTGAGCTTGGTGGATGAACATGCGTTTTTGCTGGTGGGAAGTGAAGGTTGGATTTGTGACCCCATTTTGTCGTTTCTACGTTGCCTGTTGGACACTTACGACTATTGTTTGATCTGTGATTTGGCTACAAGTGTTGCAGATGAGAGACAGAAGAAACCTATTGCAGGTG